AAAAAAATTTATATTATTTTAAACAAAAAAAAAAAAAAATCATAGTCACAAATTCTGCAGCGTACAATATTATATATTGTGCATTATGCTTTTTTTGTAATTCGGGGTTTTTCGTACTTTAAATAATTCGGTCTCGATTATCAAAAAAAGCTTATCTCATGATATTTCTTTGTATGACAAATAAGCCAATAAGAATAGTAACGTGTATCTTAAATAATGCATATTTATTTTCCATTATTTTACTTTACCTTTACCATATTCGTCAAATTGGCGCAGTGAAAAAAAAAAAAAGCCTTTGTCATATTTTTAATCCACTCAATTGTCTTAGTTTACCTAATTAAACATTGTTAAAAAAGAAATAGAAAAAATTTCCGATTATTCTAAATTGAATGATAATATTTTTATTTAACTTGTCTTATTATCGTTAAATCGGTCTAGAATATTTATAAACCTTAGGTTAATAATATTCTGTGTCACAGTATGGATTACCACACCTTTATTTTTGTTTTGTGTAATATTTCGTCAATTTTTTTTTTTTCGTTTAAAACAAACAATTGAGTAAGTAATCCAATGTCTAGCCACTCCTCATTTTACAAATAAGAAAGGAGTACTTAAAAAATATATATACATGTGCTTGGCTTAATTTCCATTTATATTTTTAAAGTTTATAATTATAAATATAAATATATATTTTTTTTTGTTAATCCGTTTGGTCAAGTAAATAGATTTTTTTTTTCTCGATTGTTGAGAAAGCCGACCTGACAAACCTGTCTTATTTGTACACACTAATGTAATTTTAATATTGTGGCGTGAAATTATTATTATATTATTGTTCATCCTCTGATAAATTTATAGGAATTCATTTATTTGTACTTATTAGTAAATTTAATGCTAATTTTATACTTCAGCCAGTTGATCACCCACGTATTTGGTGAATTTATATCGGACCTTTAAACTTTAATCTTTAACAGTTAACAAATTTTAAATATAAAAATTAAAAAATTTTTTTGAAAAAAAAAATAAAAAAGCATTTGAAAATATTTACATTTCGTTTATGTGACGAAATGTACATGTAATATTCAACAAGTACATGTAAATATTTCAATAAAAATCTAACCAAGGTTATCCGTAAGTCTTATACCAATTCGTCACTTATAATATTAATTTGATAAACGAAATTTTATCCAAATTTGTTTATACCCTATACAATTTTATATTTTATACTCCATTTTATTTATCCGTTTATATTAAATTATAATTTGTGTCAGTTACTTTTATAAGTAATGATTCTCATAATCTCATTTCCCTCTCCTTAATAAAAAAGAATTTGTTTGCCAGAAGGGAAAATTCTTCTTATTGTTGTCGGGTCTTATTTATGCCGGTTCGGCCGAATCATACTGATCACTGATCACTGATCACGTGATATATAAAAAAGATACGAAGGGTGATTTGCTTCTTTCAGATGAATTTCAATTGACATTAGTAGTACAGCGTTTCGACATATTTTTCTAAAATTCTGTATTATTTTGATTTTTGTATATATATATAATCCCTCTTCTTTTTAAAATAATTATCAAAAAAAAGAGCAAATATTATAAGCATAGTATAATTAAAACTAATAAAATAACAAAAATAAATCCACTTTAGGATAAGCGGAGATCTTATTGCTTAAAATAGCTGTAACTTACATGAACTTCCTTGCAGAGATATTCACCAATAGATACGTATTAAGTACCTTAAGGGCTGTGGGCTATTAAGTTAATCACTTTTTTTTTTTCATTACAACGAAAATAGAAACATTTAAAGACACATATTTGTATAAGGGTCATATTACCTTTTTTTTTCAAAAAAAAAAAAAAAATGTTCGGATGCATATTTTTGAATCATATGATCATAACTTTATTGGTCAAACAAACATCCTTAAATCTGAAAAGATAGTTTCGTGTCACAACCACACAACCACTTTACTGTTTACGATCGTCATATTGTACACTTCATATATTATTCTATTAGTATAAAGTTAAAAAATATGTTAGAATATGTTAGAATATGTTAGATATTTTTAATCTCCATCCAATAATATGTAAATGTTGAACAGATAAGAAGATAACACATGCAATCTCACTGCGGTGACTAATAGAAAAAAAAAATAGAGTTTTTTATTACATAAAAATCTTACGTTAGAAGTGAATTTCCATGAGGTCATATGTTCATGATGTCAACCAACAATACATTGGATAGAGATAGAGAATCATAACGGACCGAACGGTCCGATAAAATTTACTTTTAATGGTTAATGTCTGAAAACAAGCCAAATTCCAATTATCCGTCAAAATATTGGACATCTTTTAATTAGTACATAGTAGTTAAATTAAAGGTCATAATTCAATTGCGTCCATAACTTTGAGTGTAAACAAAAATATATATATTTTTTTCGATTTTTAATAACTTTTTTTTATTCTTTTTTATTTTTAGTAGGAGTAGGAATGAGAATTAATTATATACTTGTAGGATTCTTTGATAATGCCCGAAAAAATATAACGAATGGATCTACCTTGAAAATAATTGGAGGATTTTGTAACGTAGTATGCAAAATATGGGAACGCCAAAAATATATCCATTTTATCAGTATATTGAGTTACGCTAATAATTTTTTATCAAAATGTTTAATAATTTTTATCAGAATCAAAAGTTACTTTGCGAGTTCCGAGTTCTTGAAGACGACATTAGGGATTAAGAATTTATATTTGAAAATTATTTTGATATTTTTCTCTGGGATTATGAATTAGAGAATTTTTTTTCATTTCAGAAAATTTTGTATATTGCATTATGATTTTTGGATTATGATTTTGTGGTTTTTTGGAATTGGGATGTGCGGGATAATAAGTTTAACACGGTCGATAGAAAACTTTAAGGATCAAACAGGTCGGTTTTTGCACGAAAGATCTGACCAACCACAACTTACCGAAACATGCGGCCGACCGAAATTGGACAAGGTCAAATAATCTTGTTCATTTCGGTCGGTTGATTAGCCGGGTCTTTGTTGAATTCAACTTTTTGGACAATATTTTTTGAGCGTGCCTCACTAATGGGATGAACAAGTCTAATATTAATCTAAAAGTTCGGTCGTACAAGCAAATGCAAACAGACCACCGTGATTGTACCATCGGAATTTGAGCTTTTTGGTCCATAATGAATTGCAAATTCAGAAGAGCTACTACCAAAAAATTTTTCGGTAACGTGACTTTGTACTACAAATCTAAAAATAGTAGGACACTGTAATATTTTTCGGTTCTCACCTCGTGTCTTGAAATCATTTTTTATTTTAATTTATTCTACTCTATTTTTTTTTTATTTTTATTGTATTTTACTTTGTCTCGAAAATAAAAACGCGTTTTTTTTCTCTATTAAGTATAGGTGTATGAAGTTGAACTATTTAAGTTTCGAAAAAACTTTTTAATACAGTATAAAAATTATATTATTCGTCTCATTTTACTAAAAAAAAAATTTTATAAATATTTTAGATACTGTAGACGTTTTCTAGAATTCGTCAAATCACATTATCGAAAATTTGATTATCACTTATAATATGTAGGGATGGGAAGAGTTCGAAGTTGAGTTGGTCAGAGTCGGTTCGTTCATGTTCGGTTTGGTACTTACCGCTTTCATCGGTTCTAATAAAATTTTGATATGAACATATGAACTGACTTAGTTCAGCGTTCCGGGTTCGGCATTTTTTTGAATTTTCGGGATTATGATTTTCTAGAATTGTGAATGTCGGGTTTGTACTATAACAAGAATGAGATTTTTTAGTGGAACATTAATTATTAATTGTTATGAATTTTCGGGATGATAAATTGTCCAGGATTGTGAATGTCGGGTTTGTACTATAAACAAGGGTTGATGCCTATTGGTTCCCCATTTTGGTGTTAAAAAATTATAATAGAATTTTGACAGGTTTGTACTATAAACAAGGGAATGATGTCTATTGGTTCCCCATTTTAGTGTTAAATTTTTTTAAATGGAATGTGAAAAAATTATAATAGAATTTTGAGTACTTTGTACAGTGGAACATTCCATAATAAACTCATTTCGGTAATTAGCTCGAAGTGTAACGAAGGACTATAATACGAATGTCTTGATGTCCGTTCGGTACGTGATTATGTACACGAATAAAGTGAGTAGAATTTCTTTTTTCACTACTTTTAAAAAAAACGTTTTTTTTATTCAATTTATTTCATTTTCATGTGTTGGTGGTTTGGAAAACAAGAGAAAATTAATAATTTAATTACTCTTTTCATTTTGTGAATGAAATAAATGAAATACCAATAATGGATGTTTAATGTGATAATCTTTTTCTTATACTCCCAAATCCGAAACTTTACAGTTATTCATTCTAATTTCATTATACAAACAACTCATCTATCATGAAACATATAGTTTTTATTGTTGTATCATTTCTTATGTTCTTGATCTACCCCACTTGTAATGATGAAGGTAAGTTATCTAAAAACGACTTTTATTTAATTTATCCAAAATAGCGTAATATTAATAATTCATCTGTTTTTTTTACATTCATGCTATAAAAAAGATGGTATTTGACTCAGGAAAAGTAGAAAATCCTAGTAGTGTCATATGCTATTTGCAACAGATCATGAGTGACTATAAGTTTTATACAGATGATATAAACGACCCAATTTATACTGTCAATTTTAATCGTACATGGGTAAATGGGTACGTCGTAAATTTGAGCTTAGATTGTAGTAAACCTTATGAAGGAAAATTGACATACACGCGCGACAAATATGACTCCACAAAAATTTCACTAAGGATAGGAAAAGTTACACACAGAATTTGCTTTCGACGGACCGCTTAGAGCAGGTGATTTAGGAAAAAACATCGGCGATTAGACTTTATATCTGACTCGTGCACTTACCATTAGCTTTTTTAGACTTTAAATTAAGCTATTTCTTAATTGATTGAGTTTAGTAAAATTTATAAATATCAAAAAATTAAGTATTGAATTCTATTTATTTATTGATTCACTTATTATGTATCATATTTAATTGTGAAAAAATCACGAATAGAAAATCATTTAATTTATTGTTCGATCTTATTCAAGTTTATTCAATTACACTAAGAGAAATTTATTAAAATAAATCAAAAACCATAAGAAACCGGATGTAGCTCGCTTCAGACTTTCTAACTGTTCCCGTCACTATTTGATATTTACATAATAATAGTAATATTTATTTATTGATTTATCCAAAATATAGAATAACCAAAAAAAAATTAAGAGTTCACATTTACAATAAATTATATAAATTATGGCTGTATTTAAAATTATTTGTATAATTTTTCTCTGATACCTTAATAATATTTGTAAAATTATCAAAGTATTTTAAGATACCGAATACTCCTGTCGGTACTATCAGCGACATCTTCAAACTATTTTTGTAAAGGAGTCGAAGGATTCCTCATTCAAAATACCTGCCTCAACCATTGATATTAACTTTTTACTATCTATTTTTATCCATATCGAATTTTTGTCTGTACTTGCTTCTGAACGACCTTGTAGGTTTAATATTACTCTAATAAAAATTAAAGAAACGAGATCATTGACCACAGTTAAACATATTGTTCAACAAATGGATCTTGGTAAAGATATAAGAATTATAATTATTAATCCAATAATAGCTATAAAATATTGTGTGGCGTAACGTAAGTCATAGCATGTTTTATCTTTCATAATTTGGACTTGACCAATGATCTTAGCATCATTGGTAGGTGTTACCATATTAATCATAATATCAGTCCATTGACGTTGAAACATACGACTTATACCTTCTTCAGTTGTACCTTCCTCTTTCCATTGATTTAATAGAGCCAAATTTCCGGTACCATCTCCATTATAACCATAAACATCAAAGTTGATATTGGACATAAAAAACGATGATCCACCAATAGCAGAAGCACTTTGTGCACCATCACCGTTTCCAGAAAAGAAGGCAGTTCCTGCAGGTAACAAAAGATTATTCTCACTTACTATCGCGCTGTTGTTAGGAACGTTTTCTCCAAATTCGACTCCTCCCCACCAAGGATCCATATCACGAATACTGACGTTACTCTTCTCAATATACCATTGCGCTGGAATAGTTTGTTTATTTACTATATTTATTTCTTGAGTTGCATTAGTTTGCAATTCAATTATATTAACACTTGCTTCAATCATACTAGCGCATCCATATAAAATTTGTTCTGTTCCACTTGCAGTAAGTTTTGGTGGTCCTAATAATTTCCAACATTTGACACCAACTATATTATCTGCAAGATTGTCTATACCACCAAATCCATCACACGAAATATCAATAGCAAGATCATCATCATCATCGTCAGAAGTGAGTATTTTAGGTAACTTGGGAAGAGAATATTTATTGATAGTTTCCGGTGATGTTAAAAGACTATAAGCTGAAGACTCAAGATAATTTCCATTATTTGTCAAATTAAATTTCTTCCTAATAGCTAAATTTATAAATGTACTATATCTGGAACTTCTATATGAAAGATCTGTCATCTGACCTCGATCACCAATTGGATTTATCTGAGGAGGATACATATCAGTGTTTTTAATGTACAATTTGGCTTGCCAATCGAAAGTTCCATTTTTATTTGAAACTTGTGTGAAATTAGTTGATTTACAAATGACGTGTGGTTGTAACCACATGCCTTTAATTGACCAGTTGTATTTTTCGCCAACTTTTTCTTTAGGTCCAATCGCATGATTCATCAAGAGTCCACCATTATCATGATCTACTACCATTGTATCAACAATTCCATAACCTTTTTTTGTACTTGTTACCACACTCATCTTAAAGGAATTGGTAGGAAATGTAATATTATCATCACTATAAGAATCCAGTAGACGATATCTCATTGCAAAGTTACTATATGATTTGTTAAAGTCGGTTAAATATGTGTCATCAACATGAAGATTATCGATCATTCCCAAACATGATTTAAACTCAAATAAACCACAAGTTCTAACTTGTGATAATTCTTTCGAAGAAAATGAATTATTAACCGCTTTACTAAGTAATGGATCAGGACTAACATAATTATATCTATAGAATTTGTATTTGTATTAGACATTACTGAACAAGTATGAATACCAAGTGGTGCAATAGCAGATGCTCCATACAATAATATTGGACATATCCCAATAAGTAAATAAAGTACGTTACGCTTATACGATCCTAAACTCCACAATCTAATTCCTGTTAACGCGGGTTGACCACCGGTTCCAAAATAACTAAGTGGAATATTTTGAGATATTTTACTTAGAGTTGTCCACTCTAAGGCTGTCATTTTATCACTAGTACTCATAAATATTGCTAGAACTCCTATTCCACTTATAAGAATAGGTAATAAAACGTTAATGACACCAATTAGCGCAGCTAATTGACCAGCATTTAGATCGACTACTAATGCCATCTGTATAATATATTCTATAGTATATGTAAATTTTACGAAAAAAAAAATATCAAAGTTCCTATTATTATATGAGGGATTGCTCGTCGCACAAGCTCTTCATATATTCATGTAGGGTAATTAATTAATTGTGTGATCAACATGTAAATTTATAAGAATGTTTAGTCAAAATGCTTGATCTGATTAATTAAATTTAATACTTTTCCGGAGAAACTATTTTTCAAAAACAATAATCTGAATTATAAGGACCCGTACTTGTAGATCATTTTATTTGAATGCATTCATTTGTTAACTATTAAATAATTGCCTCTTTGGATCTATTAAATATATTTATCTCATGTTTACTAATTGGTCGCCAGTGATTTTTTTGATGATATATTCATGCCTGTTCGTGTTTTTATAGTTTATTTATACCTTTCCCACTCTTTCCCATCACTGGACGAGTTATTTCGCGTGTCGCATAAATATCATGATTTTCACGGCGCAGCCGTGAAAATCATTGATATTCGACTATTACATATATAAGGGATTTTTTATGTGAAAAGTTCAAAACCAATAACAATATCATCTATTCCTATATTATCTATAATACATAAATTACATGCGAGATGGTCATATGATTCATATCAATTTTTCCCTTAAGTTAAATAGGGAAATATTTATGAACAATAAAGAAAAGAATAATAATAATTACATAATAGAAAAAAAGAAATTTATAATTATTCAATCGTTTAAAGCTTTCAAGTTTACTATAGAATTATTTAAAAGATTTATTATTTAAGATTATTATTATTTCGTATAAAAAAAAAATAACAGATAAGATTACTTACATTATTGAATAAATTCTTTCTTTTTGAAACAATATTTTTTGAATGATGAATTTCTTCCTATAAAAATAATTAAGAAAAATTCACTATTGTTAAATAAACATACTTGATTGAATAAATTCTTTTATTTATACGTAAAATAATAAAACGTTTTATAGTAATTTTTATCCTTCAAGGATGTACTAGAATATTAGTTATTGTATTTCAAGAGAAAAGTGAATTTTTGATTACTTACGCGAATGAATAAATTTTATCAATTCTGTATTTTCGAAATATAGAAAAATCAAATAAATGTTATTTTATATTAAGTTATTTTATTTTAATAAATTATTACTTACATCATTGAATCAATTTTGCTTTTTACGATTTTTTCACGATTTACTGATTTGCTATGTAACAAAGTGAATATTAATTTTCACGTTATCATAATTTATTATTTCCTGTAATCACTTACTTAAGTTTTGTAATTTTAAAAACTTCATAATCTTCCATCAAATCAACATTTATAAAAGATTCTTTTCCAGGATCCTTGATGGTCAAATTAAATAAGTTAATAAAGCTAGGATAATCAGTAAAAATAGAGTCGTAATCATCACATCTTGCAATTATAGGTGAACTAAGATCATCTTGATTTTTAAAAGAAAATATAAAGCTATCGCCTAACATTGCGTGATTTTTTATATTATATCCTCCAATTAACCTTCCAGTATCTTTAACTTTAGCAACAATGAGTGTTGGTCCTTTATCATCACATAATTCATGGAATTTTGTTGTTTCAAATCCATCTCTAGTTGCGCTATAAAGTAGTTCAAGAGAATAAGGAACATTCTTAATATTGTAATATTCTTTTTCTTTATCTATCCAACTAGTAATTATAGCAAAGTGTTTTTTATTTATAATTTTAAAGGACGGATTTCTTGGTTGTGATACGAATAAAGATTTTGGTGGGGAATCAGGATCTAAATAGTATCCAATTATATCATCGTAAATATTTTCCGAAAAAATCCTTTTAAACGGGCTTATTTTTTGATGAAATAATTTTGGAGGGATTTGGGCCCATCTAATAAGTAGAATAAAATCGTAAAGAATTTCTCCAAGTTCAACGAAATCTTCTTCAGTCCAATTGGAATATACATTAATATTAATACATTTTGACATTTGTGCTATTCCCCATTCTAATATATATTCCCAAATATTATATTCATTCATGTATAAATCATCTCTTTTAACAATAGAGATTAAAATAGTCTTATCTATTGTTAAAAACGTGGAAGATTCAAATAATACTTCAGGGTTATCACAGATTAACTGTAAATAAAAATTTTTTATAGAAGTTAAAGATTCATAGTGAAGTATCGTTTGAAGAACTTCAGTTGGATCTTCGTTTAAAAATTTCTCTTGTTTCTCAATTATGTAACTTTCTATATAATTTTGTAAATTTCCGAAACATATTTCATCTGACGCTACAAGATATTTTAATATATCTAGTCCTTTCTGTTTATCTAATTCAATGGTTCCAGTATAAATATACCTTTTAAACGAACATATATAAAATTATTATAAGTTCATTAAAATTAATAAATAAGATGAAATATTTTAACTTACTTTAATATTAATTCCATAATTTTTGGATTAATATTTGGTTTATTAAAAACGACAATTCCATATTTTTTACGAGCCCAATTCTTTGATAATGCAGCTTTAAAATAAGTTGACCTTGAACTTAATATTAAAGAGTGAGTATAGAAACTTCTAATATTTTCATTTTTTCCAGCTTTAATAATTACATCATAATTATTTCCGCTAGAAAGTAATTTTTCAAAATCATTTAATAATTCATCTGGTGTCATGTTTTTTTCGTATGATGGAAGAAAGAGCGTTAAATGAATTGATCATTTTAGGTGCCTGCATATTATTTTTAACATTGCAGATCAATCAATTATGAAGCCTCAAATAGAAACATTATAATAGACGTTAGTCATACAGTACAGTACATTCATTTTGCTATAAATAACATATTAATAAAGCGTACGACATACTATATGTATCTTGTTGCTCTCGATATCATTTTCCTTTCAATTGTTAGACACGACATATTCTTGAATGGGCCTAGTCACAAACATAAAATTTTCCTGACATGACATTTCCCAAAAGTTATTATTTTATCCCTGACATTTTATTCTTATTTATTATTATTAATAATGATGTTTTGCAAATAAAATTTGATTTGATATTTACAACAAATAAGAGTGCGAAAAATAAAAGAAAATAATAAAGTTGTTAATTTATTATATAATCATTTTTAAGAAAGAATATGAAATATTTTAATGGCAGATAATTACATATCTTAGTAAGTAGATTATATAAACATAAACAAATAAATTTTTTTCTGTGATAAATTATTTTCGGTAAATCGGGTTTGAGAAATATCTTGTCAAAATATTATCTTTCAGAAATATGTTGCCGGGAAAGCAAGTTATTAAACTTTGGCTCAGCAGACTGATGATCTTTAATATGAAAATCATGTGACGATCATGACATGTGCTATTGTGCTTACAAGTTGCAAAAGTATCGGACTTGACCCTCCTAGTGGACCCTCCTTACTGTAAAATATATTATGCGGGTCAAGTTAGCACGTTGTACAGGTTACAAGTTAATATTATGTATAGCCAATCAAATGTAATTTAGTCGTGTGCATGTTACATTTTGATAAGTATATCAGATTCAATTGAAAAAAGAAGTCTGCAAAGTGTAAACAATTTATTGACACAGTGTGTTTGAATGTTAAATTAGTATCAATATGATATTGAATTTCCTCGAATCCTTTAATCTCTATCTTGAATCAGAATATAAAAATCGACTTCTTGGAGAACACAATGCAAATTTGGGCATCATTTTATCTAATCAAACAAGTCTTTATCTTCGTATTCAAACTTGTCGCGCATCACTTCGTTACATATTGTGTATTTGTTCGAACCTCAGTATAAAATGCTATATAATGCTATATAATATATATTATTAGGAATCAAACAATATTTGCTACGAATTAGCAACAGCAGGTAAACATAGTATTATATTTTTTTAAAGTGATCAAAGGAAGAAAGATTAAAGCATGATTAGACTATATTGATCTGTTTGTTCAGCCTGCTGACCTAACCATAGAGAGAGTTCATTTTCAATTACTCCGTATTACTAATCTTTACTATCTCTATCTTTCTGACATTAGGTACGTACGCCATATCGACACGTACAGTATATTCCGAAAGGCAATCCTCGACAAGAAACTCGATTTAACAAAAAGATTTAAGGGACGAATTGCCACTCAACAGGAGAAATTTAATAATTCTGATTTACGCAAAATTTTATCCCCTTTTTTACTGGATCATCATCCCATCATGTGATATGATATGCAAATTTTAAAGATAGTAATTAATAGTGTCAATCCTGGCTAAGCCACTTGCAGAGTTTGAAGTCGCTAAAAGTTCCACGTCTCGTCTTCGACTTCACTATGGAGGAACGTAAAATTCCGATCATAAATTTCCAGTTAATTCAAATTTTAAATGATTTATTTTTGAACCAATTTTGACCAAAAATAAGTTAATTTTGGTTCTAATTTAGCTTTTAAACCTTTATTTAGTTTTAGTTTAGCTTTTTTTTTTTATTTTTTTTTTATCTTTTATATTTGTATGGTTCCCACAGATTTTATGCATATATCCCATAGTGCGAGTTTTAAAACAATTCCCCTAGCCAAAAGAGTTACTGCATACTGTTTTTTTTTGTTCATTAAAAAATTTGTATAATAAAGAACATGAAATTTCAAAAAAAAAAAATTTTATTAATAACGAAGCCCGTAAAATTAATTATACAGTACATAGATTGCCGATCATTTTCTCCTATTTGAGTGCCGAACTATCACTTTAAATTGATTAAACATGTAATTATTTATATACTATATTTAACTTTCATGGTGATGATTTTTCACATGATTAATTAATAAGCATTCATCGCATTTTATTTTCAAAAAAAAAAAAATTTACAATTTATAAAATGTTCTTTAAAATGTTTTAAAAGACGGAAAAAAATTTTTATTTGCTTAAAATCAACGAAGTTACATTCTCGTAAATGTCGTTATCAGGCAAATCGTTTTGGGGAAAAGGGAAAGGGTACGTTCGGAAAGGAAAAATGAATGTCGGCAAAATCATGGTGTAACATTATGTCAACATACCAAGAATCCAAGATCGAACAATCAATTATTATAATAAGATATGTTAAAAATTTGAATTTCGATGACATAATTTTTTAACTGATTTCCTATAAAATGATTTTTGATAATCTTTTCAAGATCGTTATAATACAAATAGTCTATTTTATAGTTTTTTTATTACGTGGCAAAAAATCAAAGGCGTTCATTCATAAAAAAAAAAATAAATGTCATTCGATTCTTTATTTTGATTTCTCAGGAAGGTTTACTTACATCTTTCCATATTATCATACTGTATATTCCATCGTTGAACTACCATCTCATATTCATTTAATAACCAAACATTTAATATAAATCAAAATTTCTTTAACGAGAATTTATTTCAGATTCCCAAAGTCAATCGATCAACTAATCAAGAATTAGTAAGCGGAACGTGATATTGTAACTATAGATGAGATATCTAATCCATTCAAAGTTCATTGATTCTAAACTAATAATGACTAATAATACGAAAAAAAATGGTTTCAAAAAAATTGAAAATTTTTCAATTTTAACTAGATTCGGTCAAGAATATGCACTTACATAAAAATTATCAACTAAATTAGCGTGAGTAAATAATTGTTAAATGAGTAAACTCTTTTGATAGATCAAACTTTTTTCACCTTTTCTCACTTATTTAAAAAATATCTAAAAATTATTTTTTTTTTATTAGAAAAATACAATGTCCGAAACAAATATCACAATATTCTGTCTTGTTCTTGGAGAAAAACCCATTAATAGTTGCGTTTTCGAAGTTAATATCAATAAATACGATAGTATTTCACGCCTCAAAAACGTTATAAGGGATGAAAAAAAAAATGATTTTTTTAATATTGACGCTAACAAACTGAGATTATGGAAAGTTGATATACCTATTATTGAAGACGATAAGCTGAAAATACTTAATAAGCCTCATACAGAGATTAATATTGAACAAGAACTTGGAGGTGAAGAGCTTTCATCGGTTAAGAAAATTCATCATTACTTCCACAAACCCAAAGATGAGCACATTCATATCATCATAACATTGCCCACCAATAACATTGGTAAATGGTACGTCTTCTTTGAACCAGCGAATCAACAAAAAATTGATGATTCTATGATCAAAAAAGAATACGAAAAGGTTGAAAAAATCGCAAAAGATATTGGTTTGGACGACTGGCTGTTGCTTATTATGTCAAACTGTTCAAATAATACATTTAAAACCAACTTACCATCAAAATGTACGATTAACGATGAAATTCAATTCTATGATCCATCTCGGGACCAAATTGTTGACTGTAAGCTATATATATATCCTTAAAAAAATTTCATTTCTTGTTATTTCAGTTTATTAATTGAATAATTTACTCCTTTGTAGCTCAAGATAAGTCCTGCATTAATTCTAGGGTTATTGATGACATTGAGCAAGAAACTGTATCCGATACTATTGAATTTGATGAATATAATAAAAGAAAATTTGATGATGATGAGGATCTATTAATACGCACAAAGTTTCCAAGGTTGTCCTTAGATTGTGCAGAGGACGAACCCTTAAAACCCTTAAAACAAAGCGTAAAGATTTTAATGTATTAGAGGTTTTATACGAAAATTAAAATAGGTAAAGTGGGTTCAATAAAGCTAAAAGTGAATTCCTATGTAATTCATATTAATTTTTTTTTCTAATTTTGAATAACAGAATTGCTAAATTACCTATATATATATAATTTTTGGTTTTTTTTATAATTAAAGATTTGAACTTAATAGTGTACAAAAAATTAATTATTACATTAAACATCAATCAGTTCTTTCTAGATGGAACGCCGCGCCTTTGGATTAAATTAAATTCTATTAAAATTTTGGTTAAAATTGCCCTTATATAAACTGCTTATTTTCTTTTCCATCAAATACTTTTTTTAAACCTTATTTATATTTTCTTAATAAAATCTCTCGATAAGAACACTAAATATAAATTTAATACTTAATTTTCAAAAATAATATTTTTCATTTGTTTATTTTATTTAAATTATTCTATTCTACATATAAAAAAATTATCATCAATATATATCTATGTAAATAAAAATCTCGGATAAATTATAATTGGTAAATATAAATTACAAGACCAAGAATAAATCTAAATTTAATTAAGTCTATTTTAAAGAAATTATTTATAAATAACAAAAGAATGAACAAAAGAAAAAATATAACAAAAAATTTAATTACATATTGGAAAGAAAGATTAATACTAATTGAACTACTAATAACAGTTGATGTACTTGTCAGTGAGACAATTGGGATACTTGCAAATTTACTATAAAATAATTAAAGGAAATTAATACTATGTTTACTATTTTATATTATAACTTGTATTATATAATTAACGATAAATATACTTACACGATTGAATTAATTTTATCCCTTTGATATAAAATAATTACTATATTGGCACATCCTTGAAAGATTGCAATAGTTGACATAAATTTACTGTAAATTGATTAAAAGATCAATTAGTATTTTAAAATATAGAATAATGGACAATTTCATTCTGATATTAATTACTTACATAACTGAATAAAATTTTCCTTTTTGAAATATAGTATACAATATATCAATACATTTTCTAAAAGTAAATTTACTAGATTGAGATTAAAGCAAAGAACATAGTTAGCAAGGTAATTTCATAGGTATTAAAATTAAGGAAAGTTCTAAGTTACTTACATAATTGAATAAGATTGAAATATAATAGTAATACATATTTGAAAAGTGAAGTTGCTATAAAAAAAAATTAGCATTAATTTAAAAATAATACGTTAATTATATAAAACATCCTTATAACGGCATTGCAATTACTCACGTAATTAAATAGGTTGTAAATATAATATCAGCACATCTTTGAAAAATAAATTTTCTATAAAATAATTAAAAATTGAAAATTAGTTTAACAATGCGCTAAATATAATATAAAGGAAGCTAGGATCAAATTTGAAATATAACATCAGTACATAAAGAATTAAAAGGAAAATTAGGGTTGTTTTATATATGGGTGACTATACAGAATCGTGAATATTAAGAGTAATGCTCATAAGATCACCCAACAGTTTTAACAAATCACTTACATAATTGAATAAATTTTATAAACAACGTCGGTACATCTTTGAAAGATAATTTTACTATAAATAATTAAAGTAAATTAGTACGAATTCATATAAATAATAGTAAAAAACGAATTACTTACATGGTATTAAATAATATTTTAGCACATTCTTGTAAGGTATTTTTGCTATAAGATGATTAAAGAGAAAGGTAGTATTATTTCATAATAAAGAATTTTCATTGGTGAGTATTAATTACTGGATAGTGATTGCGTATAGAAATCATCGCATATGTTTTAGCAATGTTTTGGATAAAGGTTAATTACTTACATAATTGAATAAACTTGAAATATAAAATAAGCACAACTTCGAACGCCAAATTTCCTATTATAGAGTAATTTAAGTTATTTTGTTAAAGAGAATATAAGATTCAAAAAGTAACTACTCACATAATTGAACAAATTTGAAATACAATATCAGAGCATCTTCGAAAGATAAATTTCCTATAAAAATAATAAAATAAAATTATTATTATTTCATATAAAATAATGAAAAACGAATTACTTACATAGTATCAAATAATATTTCAGCACATTTTCGTAAAGTATATTTGCTATAAGAAGATTAAGGAAATTAGCATATTTCAAAATACGTATATGTATTAAAACACGAGCTAATGATTACATATAGAGCCTGTAAAAATCTCTCATAAGTATTAGCGGTGCCTTAAATAAAAAGACAAACCAACATTAATCACTTACATAATTGAGTAAACTTGGAATATAAAATTAGCACATATTTGAACGCTAAATTTCCTATTATAAAGTAATTAAAGTAAGTTAGCGTTATTCTGTTAAAGAGGAATGCGGGATTAATTCACAAAGACCTGTCTATGATTAGGATTAAGTGATTACATATAAAATACGTAAAATAATCCCATTAGTTTTAGCAATTTTCCAAGTAACCCAATTCAATTACTCACATGATGGAATTAATTCTGCCAAAAGTATTAACTAATATTTTAGCGCATTCTTGGAGGGTAAATTTACTATAAGATAATAATAAAAAAAAAGTAAATAACGTCTCATATGATATAAACAAAAATTTATTATACTATAATCACTTACACGAACGAAGAAATCTTATCGATTTTGTGTTTCGCGATGATAAATTCACTACAAAGATGATTAAAAGAAAAGTTAGAATCATTACGTACGTAAATTATCAACTTCAAGTATTTGATCACTTGATCACTTTACGTCGTTAAATTAACTTGGCTTTTCGTAATTTTTTCATTTTTTATTAATTTGCTATGAGAAATTAAATTAACTTTTAATTAATTTTAACATTATCGTAAAATATTAATTTAGTTAGTACTTACCTCAGTTTTGTTATTTTAAAAACTTCATAATCTTCCATCAAAAACTTTTGACCAACATTTATAAAAAATTTTGTTCCAGGAAATGAACTTGTAGAATTACATTCAAGAGTATTATCTTTGATGAACAGATCGAATAAATTAATGAAATCAGGATCATGAATAGAGCTAGAACTGTTTAAATTAACCGCTCTTGTAATAATTGGTGATCTAACATTATTTTCATTTTTAAAAGAAAATAAAAAATGGTTATCTGATATTGTATTAAATTTCCAACTTCCTGGATTATACCCTCCAATTAACTTTCCAGTATCCTTAATTTTAGCGATAATTAATGTCGGTCCTTTATCATCACATAATTCATGAAACCTTGTTGAATCAAATCCATCTTTAGTTGCGCTATATAATAATTCGAAAGAATAAGGTATATTCTTTATTTCATAATATTTATTTTCTTTATCTATCCAACTAGAAATTATGGCAAAATGTTTTTTATTAATAATTTCTGAACTAAAAGACGGTTTTCTTGGTTGCAACAAGATTATCGATTTTGGTAATGAATCAGGATCTATGTAATATCCGACTATATCATCAAAAATATTTTCCGGAAAAAGTCTTTTAAATGGAAAAATTTTTTGATAAAATAATTTTGGAGAGATTTGAACCCATCTAATAAGCGGAATAAAATCTGAGATAATTTTTCCAAGTTCAATGAAATTTTCCTCAGTCCAATTAAAAAGATTATCAATATCAACAGAGACTGGCATTTGCGCTATTCCCCATTCTAACACATATTCCCAAATATTATATTCTTCCACGTATAAATCGCCTCTTTGAATAAGTAAAATTAATATAGATCTATCTATTGCTAAATTTCTTGTTGAAAATAGTATTTCGGGATGATCACAAATTAATTTTAGAAAAAATCCCTTAATACAGTTAAAGATTCATACTGAAATAAAATTTGAAGAACTTCAACAGGATTATCTTGTAAAAAATCTGCTTGAACTTTAATTATATAGCTTTGAATATAATCGTTTAATCTCCAGAAGTACAGTTCATCTGATGCCATAAAAATTTTCAATATTTCGGATCCTTTTTGCTTATTCAAATCGATCGTTCCGGCATAAACGTACCTTTCCATCATCAAAAAAAAAAGTGAAAGATTAAATGAGATTTCTAAAATTTTATTACTAATATATCGTATTCATAGTCTTTTTTAAGATAAAATTTCACTTACTTTAGTAATAATTCCATAATTTTAGGATCAAATTTTGGTTCTTTAAGAAGAATCATCCCATCTTCTTTGTGGATCCAATTATTTGATAATGCAGCTTTAAAATAAGTCGACCTTAAACTTAATATTAACGAATGCGCATAAAATCTTTTAATATTTCCATTAACTCCAACTTCAATAATTACATCATAATTATTTCCGTTGATAAGTAAATTTTCAAAATCACATAATAATTCTTCTAAAAAATTTTCTGTCATTTTTTTTAGTAAATTTGTGATAGAGAAAAGAGTTGAAAGAGTACGATTCCCAAATTAAACAACATCATTACATATTAACACATGGTCATACATAGTGTTTTTTGCACAACTATCACTTCTTTCAAATAAAGTCCCTTTTTTATCTAAACAATGACAAACCATGGTTACGGCAACTGAAAGGTTAGAAATGTTATTATAAATGCTAGATTTGAAGGAGAATATTGCAAACTTTTACCTTATTTTGTGCTTTAATATCAAAAACATAGCATAGATTCTACCGCTTTCCTCATAAATATTAGAAGGAATCTAAATTTGGTTGTATTATAAAAGGTTCAAAGATCATAAGATCATCTATTTTTAAATGAAAAACCAAATACGTCGTCGATCGCGTCGATCATTAGTTGACTGATGTCAGAATATTAATTTAATTGAAAATATTATACAAATCTTAATTACCTCTTAATTGAATTAATTGAAATCTAGGATTGAGTTCAATCATATTACAAAAATTTATTCCCTTTAAATTAGAATATTTGAAATTGAGACTTAAAATATTCCTGAGTTGTTTTTTTTCTTGTATTTTTTTCTTATTTATTTTTACAAGAGCATAGAATCAGTAGATGGGCATTGGAAGTACACTTACCGCGATAATAAACTTAGGATAGAAATCCATGTGATAATTCTCCTTTCGACATAGAGAAAAAAAAACTTGGATGAAACAGAACAAGATAAGTACACAGTGAAATTCGATATACCGGAACCTTGATATAACGGAACATAAGTAAAGTCTTGATATATCGGAATTGGGGTCTGGAACGGATTATCATAATCTATAATTAATATAATTTACCCTCGATATAACGATATAACGGATTTTGACAAATTTTACTAATGGAACGGATGGTTCCATTATATCGAATTTCACTGTGTATTAAAGGATGAAAGAGAGAGATATACAGTATATACGAAAAAGTAAGTAATACGAACCCATTATTGACGAAAAATAATAAGCTATTTTATACTCGTCCATTTTAAAAATTTTGTATTCCATGAATTGAGTTCACTTTATCTATATCTACAGTACATAATGTCCTACCATCTATTTAAGCTGATAATTTAAATGTTGTACCAATTTTCTTTTTTTTTTCAATAAAAGTCGAACAATCGTGAAAAGAATACGATTTAATGACTGATATATTCTAATAGCTTGTTTTACTTGTCTTACTTAAACGTTCCGACTTTCACAGATCACAGTGAAAAAAAAAAAAAAAAATTCAATTTAACAGGTACTACACACATTGCTGCCGTCACATGACTTTTCGACGGATTGCTGCGAAACAGCGAAAGAAGTAATCAATATTNATACAGTAGTAAAGGAAAATTGATTTATAATCGCGAAAAAAAAAAATAGTAAAAAAAAATTGATTTATCAGTAAAAAAATCATGTAATATAGTAGTAAAAAAAAATAATAGAAGAAAAATATGTTTACTGCAATCGCGTAAAAAATTAACTGCAATTTAAGAAAAATTATTCATCAGTAAAAAAAATACATTTTGGTCAAAGAATCTCGATCATATAACAAAAAATTCAATTTAACAGGTACTACACACATTGCTGCCGTCACATGACTTTTCGACGGATTGCTGCGAAACAGCGAAAGAAGTAATCAATATTTCCTATTTATAGTTAACAAAAAAGAAACAATCAAAATTATAACGCAGAGCATTTATCACATTAAGTTGGTAGTACAATACTCAATTTATATTGTACAACTGAAAGATTGCGTAACAGTAATTCACTTTTTTTAAATAAATACTCATGATAACTCAAGTTTAACATCCTGGAGCTTATAAGAGTTACGATAACGGGATGGCTAAAAATTATGAAAATCTTTCTCGAGCAGTATAAATTTTGATCGCGGGAAACTGGTAACGAAAATTGAAAAATATGAAGAAATTCAATTTTGTCCTACTGTAATTATAATCACTTAATTCACGGAGTTTAAATAGTAGTCTTAAAATGAAAGTTACATAAATACAAAATTCTTTATTATTTTTTTTTTTTTTTACAAGTACAACGCGCCCGCGCGTAATTTTTTTTTTTTTACAATAAATTCCTAATCCTAAAATAATAAATAAATAAATAAATATATTTTTAAACCTAAAATAAAATAATTAGATAATTTTTTCAAATTTTAACATTTTTAATTAGTAATTTACAAATCAACAGAATTTACTTCTACAAAAAAAAAGATATATGTATGTATGTACAGTAGGTAAGTTATCGGTAAAGTTAGGAATTACAGATAAAATAGCAAATCATATATTTACCATCAGAGATAATTTTACAATCAAGTGCTTCGGATTTCACTAAATTTGTATTATATTTATCATATTAATTTTAAAATTATAATATTAATATAAAAGCAAAAATTAATCATGTCTTACCGCTACTTATTGTAGAAGATTCGTAAAAAAAATCATCATCGTCAAAATTATCGGCATTCCTTGGTTGAAAATCTATATAGCCAGTTGAATAAAACGCTCGTGAATTAGAATTAATATAAATTTTTACAGTTGATGTAAGAGATAAATTTTTATTATGATCTTCTGCCTCTTTAATTTGTAAATTGATTTCCGTATCCTCTTTATTTTGAATTTCCGTACACCATTTGCCAAAGGTTTCCTCTAATTCAGTAATTACGGGTCTTTCCAAATAGTTTGCATTTAAACATTGTTTAATCATTTTTATAAGTAATTGTGGTACTTTAATATTGAATTTAGGTCTAAGACCTTCACATATTCTTAAAGCAAGTAAAGAATCACATGAGTATGGATCTCGTTCAGAAATAATTTCAAACATTATTATACCCAATGCGTAGATATCAGACGCAGTAGTATAACGAGGACTACCACGTAAATGTTCTGGTGCCAAATATGGTGTAACTCCGTATACGCCATCCTTTTTAGGTTTAATGTAAGCGGGTTGACATAATCCGAGGTCAGTTATCATAAATTTATTCGCTTTCTTTAAAATATTTCCTGGATGTAAATCTTTGTGAATTAATTCTTTTTGATGAATTTCATAAATACCTTTTATAATTTGATAAATTATTTGAAATTTTTTTCTAAAATCTATCGATTTACAATTTTTTTAAATAATCATGAAGATTTCCACTTTGTGCGTAATCCATAACCAACATATAATTCTTAGTATCAGGATCTTGAGTTATACCGTAACATCGAATAATAAATGTATCATCAGATAACATAATATGAGCTTTAATTTCATTTAAAAAATCTTTTGTTATATTTTTAGAATTATGTAAACTTTTTAATACTACTTGTTTGTTGACACAACTATGGAAAAATGAATCGTCATCATCATCATCATCATCATCACCATCATGACGTTTTTTTGTCTTATCGAAAAATTCGTTGATCCAAGTCGCACGATAAACCTTAGAAAATCCACCTTCCGCTAAATATTCTATATTCTCAAATTTATCAAAATCGATCCATTCGATCACTCCTGATATTGAGATTGCTTTTAATCGAACATCATTAATAAATTTATCAATAATTTCATTTCCACTAGTCCAATTTTTTGAATTTGTCTTTAACCTTCTGACTGAAAATTTACCAAAATCTAATGTATCTTTAAGTCTTTGAAATTCTTGATCATTTAAAGTCTCATAATACCTTGGTTTTATACGGTTTACATAAAGTTTAATTAATTCCACCAAACCTTTACGATCATACTTTAGATAATCAAAATTACGATACTTTAAAGTATGAATACCCATTAAATGTAAAACTTTTGATAAAGATTTTAATCTCTTCACTAATCTTTCATAAGGTTCCACTCTTAATTTCTGAAATTTTGTTACGCATTCTTCCATTTCCTTCTTATCATATTCCGCTTCTAAAAAAAAAAAGAAGAATTCATTTAGATTTTTAATTATTTTTATATTAATTTTATTCACTAACCGATAATATAGATAATTTACCTCTTATAACTTTATTCCAAAGAATTTTTTCAATGACTTTCATTTTTATTCAGTAGGAAAATCTGTAAAAATCAAATATCTACATAAATATATGTATTGTATTGTCGGAGTAAGAAATCCGCTGCAGGGTCTAATTTATTCTCTTGTGCCTGCTGATTAAATACCAATTTTCAAAGGAATTCCGCGGAATTCTGCAGTAAAAGATTAAATAATCATGCAATGGTTGCAAAAGCGACATATTTCGTTTCATATTTAAACATATTTAGACAGAACCTTATTGACAATCCTAATGTTGTGATAGCATAATGCATTCAATGATTAAACCTTAGATTACAAGATTTCGGCTAAAAAAAAAATGCTATAATTACCAAATTTTTCATTTACTCTAAATTTAACCAAACAATAAAAATCTTAAATGTAACATAAGTGAATACTGTATATACAGTATATATAAATTTTATTAATTTTTTCCCATATAAATATTTCAATAATTTTTAAATCCGAATATAATAATTATATTTATCAGATGACTTGTAAAATGCACAAACATTTGGAAGGAAAAAATAAAAAAATTTTATGATAAGAATTTTATTTAGAAATTCGGAAAATAAAATACATGTAGTCGATATATCGAAATATATTACAATAAAATTAAAAAAAATAATTACTATATAATATAATACAAATTTTAAATTACATTAAAAATATGATTTTCTTAGTAAAAATTTACTAATATGTTCTAAATACTACATTCATACATATTTTTAAATAACAAATTTCGTACCATTCTTTATTTTTGTACTTTTGATCTATATTTTCTTTGTTTGTATAATATAAATGAGGACCGAATTTATTATAAGCTTTATTGAACCATACAGGAGTAAAATAAAGCATGGTTCCAAAATTTTTTTTGTCATTTGAATTATTATCAGAATTATCATCAGTATGAATCATTTCCCAAAACTCTCCAGATTGCTGAATAGAATTGAAATCGATTAACTTCAAGGTGGGGAATGAAGGATCAGGATGATCAAGTGTTGGTGATAAAGAATCAACATCTCTCCTTTCCGGTAACTTATCAATTGGAAATGTTATAACAGAATACGTGGCGTATATAATAATAATTAAGATGGTGGTAAGAATTGAAGATTTGGTATTATTATGTTTCGTCATTTTTTCTTTTTTGTTATTTTTTTTTCTTTCAAATTTTCAAATTTTCAAATTTTAAATGTTTTTTGTTTTTTTTTTTTTTTTCAAAAGAAATTTTATGGTGTTTAAATATCTTTAGATTCGAAAAATTCCGTTAATCCTAATTTAGATATTTTATGATATTTTCGACAATGCTAACCGCTAACTAAGAATGGATCACAAACCGCGGTATTTTAGGTTGCACTATCAATACTAACCGCACGATCAGAAACAAGGAGCTCCATGAATTTTTTTATAATGAAGAATTTTTTTAATTACAAAAAGAAATTTTCAATGAAATACTACTTTTATTAACAAGAAGCCAAAGGAGCCTTTTTAGGTAATAATTAATTATTAAAAAGATATAAAAATAGGTCGTTATACAAACCAAAAACATAAACCAATGATGACCGTGATAACTCGCCAATCAGCGTTTGTTTTAAATTTCACAAAAATTAAATAATGCTTAGCCTAAACAATTGCTAAAATAATTGTTATCTAGACCATATTTTAAAACTATAAAATCATCCTTAATAGCGTTCTCATTCATGCTCAAATTGTCATTTTTGTTGTCTATAATTTAAAGATACGTCATTAGTAATTATTTATAGTGACTATATATATTATTATATTATTAGTATATAAAAGGAAATTATGATACACGAATATTCAAGCACTAAATGAAATTCGTGTAACGCATCCCTATATTCGGTTTATACCGTTCCATTCTCATACTTTTAAAAAATTTATAGATATTTGATAACAAATATTATTAAATCCTTCACTCACCTTTTCTAACCAGCTTTGAAGTGTAAAGAATTGCGACAATGCAATAAGACAATTTGTGTAATACATCCATTACTGCAATTTCATGCAATTTTTTTTTTTTTTTATTTTTAAACGTCCAATCTTCAAAGTATCTTGTATCAGTTACTAAAATAATTTTTATAAGATTCACTGGACGACTTTATTATCTGTATCACATTACTTTTTTTAGCTGTTACTTTTTATTTTTATTTTTCTTTTTAATTTTTTTGATTATTTTTTCTTGTTTTAATTTAATATATAAATATAATAAACTTTCAGTATGTGATCTACTTACTTTTTTTTTATTTTAAAAAAAACGCGTATAGTACGCCATAGAAATTTGCCATAAATATGCATAGCCCCGCACACATAGCCCACTATCGTACTATCGTCACACCGTTTGAACTTAATCGGAGGTACTTTTTAAAGAACTAAAATTCACAATTCTTTCAAAGATATGCAAGATAAAAACTGCCAATTTTGGATCATTCGCAAATTCTTTCAAGATGTGCAAGATAAAAATGCCAATTTTGAATCCAATTACAAGTACAAATTATTGTATTCTCTGAAGATGAAAAAATTTTGTTTCAAAAAAAAAAAAAAATATAAATAATAAAAAAAAAAGATAAAAATAAAATAAATAAAAAAATTGATTATCGAATCTAAATATTTGTCATCTCAAAGAACGCCACATCCCTTCTTACTTTCGCTCTTTCAATCTTTGAGATTTTTCTTTTTTGGTATACGCGATAGATTTTGCAGAATTACGCCTTTCCATAAATCTTAATATTAAAAATTGAGGAGATCCTATTATATGTAAGTAAGTAACTCATGCAATGATGAAGATGCCATCCTTCGTCCTCATTCTTGCTTGCATAGTCAGGAAGAACTTCACCAGGAAACACTTCTAAAGCGTGATCACCAAAATATTTCTTAAATATTTCTTTAATATATACTTTGCTCTTCATTTTTTCGAGTTATTATCTCTTAATAATATCATTTATTGTTAAAATCTAGTAATAATGCAACTTTTTGGGAAATATTTATTTAGTTTGTTTGTGTCTGACATTAGAATTAAGTGTAGTAATAATTTTTAATATTATTTTGTACTAAATTCAGTTTGAACCGGTATAAAAAGTTAGAAATATAAATATACTGTACTTCACGATTTTTAATTTTGACAGGCAAAATTAAGAATAATTTTTGTCAATTTTTTTACCTGAAACTCGAATTAAATCACACGTGACATTACTCCATGAATAAATATTGAGGAGTTATGACTCGCGACATCCTTTCTTCTATAAATATTAATGTATATAATCTCTAATTATTTTACTCTTTAAGTAAATGCATAAAAATACGTTACAGTTTAATTATAAAAAAACCTAGTCCACAGGAATACCTATTGTGGTGAGGACATATAATAAAGATTTTAACGTCCTAGTATATGTAATACAAATATAGGTTATAGAGATACATATGTCGTAATAGTATCAGTATAATCGAACCATGGTACGATTTTTGCATTTCATGCGAATATACTTATACTCACTGATCGATCATGGGATAATTTACTATATCAATCACTATTATCAATCTCATACATTTTGTATATGCCAAATTTGTAATGACTCACGCGTAAATGTGTGAAAATTTATTAATTCCGTTATTTATTCCGATTAACATTTTAAGCCTGGCTTACTCTTTCTGTCTACTCTTCCCTCTATTTCCTCTCTTCCTCCCTCTCTTCCTCTTATTCTTTCCATCTCTCCCTCTTCTCTCTGTTCTTTCTCCTTTTTCACTTCCCTTCTTTTATTTTTGTTCATATTCTCTTACGCTTAACTGTCTAATGAAATATGGTGATCACAAATTTTTCTTATTTTTTTGGGTACTTTTTTTGGAGAAGCATGATGCTATGCGTGAGTGGGAGCATAGCATACTCCAGCTTTGCTGCAGTCTCATAAGGGTTGGAGCATAGGCGCTTATTTTTTTAGTAAGCTCGTGGGTACTAGCTATTGCTGTAGTCCTACGATAGTAAATCCATTGGATACTTTTGTTGGAGCAGCATGATGCTATGCGTGGGTGGGAGCATAGCATGCTTACCTTGTAAGCATGTGAATACCAGCTTGCTTTGCTGCAGTCTCACAGTAGGTAGGGCTGACTGGGAATTTTTTGGTACGGTATAGTACTATGCGAAGTTGGCTTACTTTTAGTAAGTTCGTTCAGCTATTGCTGCAGTCCTGCGATAGGATCAGGTTGGTGTGGAACTATGCGTAATAATTTTATAGGGTGGAGCATAGTGCACTTCTTTTCGTGGTAGGGTCGGAGTACTTTTGTCATTAATATAATAATGAAAATAGCAAAATATTCAAAATGCAATTAAAATCATCAATCCTATTTAAACAAAAAAATTTAAATATAAATTGCAAAAAGATGATTTATGTAAAAGCAGGAAAAACTTTTATTCTAATGATGAGTATTGGCAAAATTTTAAAAATGAAATGATCAGTTTGGCAGTTTGTAATATGTTCATTATGTCTTAAATACAATTTTATACTTTCATGTTCCTTAGTTATTATGTGGAGTCATTTTTAAAGAGTGAGACTAATATTAATATATTTATATCGATTAATTTCAATTTAAAGTAATAAATAAATTGTATAGTTTTTAATATGAAAATTATTTAACATTAAATTGTGATCGAAACTTTGTGTCCAACCTCGAACTTTTTCGTTCCCGAAAATATTTATTTATTCATTTAAAAGAACTTTACTGAATTATGTAACTAACCCATATAAAATGTATAATCTAGAAATCTAACTATATGTCTATATTGTCTATATTAGAACCATTTGAAACTGTCTTTTTTCTCTGAATTATGATAATATACCTTGATATCGTTCGCGAAGGAAGAACTACGAACTTCCATAAATCACGTGATCAAAACAGCTCAATTGAAAGTTGATAAGAAACGTTTTTATTATACGAATACTACCAATAGAAAATGAATAGCTAGTATTTACTAGTATTTTTAAGTGATTTAAAAAAATTTGTTCCAAGATTTTACATTTATAACTATAGTGAATTTCCGTTTCGATTTTTGCATAAAAAATTTATTGCAAAAAAAATAATACACAGTATATTTGTATGTATATAGTATATATGTACTAAAAAAAAATTATTGCCGTAAGAAAAAACATATATATATATATATGTACACGTATCTATTAACTATTACTTTTTAAGATCAATTCAAAGATGAATCATTTATCGAATAACTAACTTTTCTGTAAAATACTCCTTGGAGTTTAGGCGATATGATATTAGTAATAGAATATGTAGAATATGTTGGACCAAATTTCAAAATTGACTGACGCGTTTCCAAATTTTTCTCAATATACTCGAATTATTATTATTACATTGATTCCAGCTTTTTCATAGTTTGTTTTACAATGTTTGGTATAAATCTTTTAGCCAACATAAAATTATAATGACGTTATGATTTGACATACTTAGGTTTCAAGTAATTGAGAGCATTTCAAATTCCGAAAATTCCGAAATTTTTTAGAGGGCATAGGATGTTTAGCTAGTTCTACTAATCATGCTTTCACTTTTTTATTCACATCACGCCCGAATGATTTTCGTTTTATTACTAGTAGATTCTTTTTGTTTATTACACAATTCAATTTATAGGGTAATCTAAACGTAAAAGTGACGCAATTTTTTTTTTTTTGTTAATCTCTTTGGTTGAACGCCTTTTATTATCATCAAATCAAAAAAATAAAGACGGAAAGACCTGGTCGCACTGAATATTCATCCAAGCCCGCATTTTCCAATATAGGTTTTTACAATACCATTACCTTTTTTCTTGCCCCCCCTCGCTTACGTAGATTTAATGTCAATGCTATTATACTTAATTACCTTAATTACATATTTCATTCATTAAAAACACTTTCCGAATCAGAAGAACGTCCTTTTTACCCTTTCAACATACACTAATATGTAAATGTAGATAATACGGGCTGCATATATCGCATCAGACGATTTTTTCAACATCAAATTGTTGAATTTGCTTTTAGTCTGGTTTGAAACTGGTTTTCTTATTTTTGACTACGACGACACGACGATTTCGCAAAAGAAATTAATAATTAATATTTGCAATGCAACTAGAGATGTGGCCGCAACTAGACCTTACTAATCGTAACTCGCAACTCGCAACCGCAACTCTTACGTTTTTTATTTAGCCGTAATTTCGCAACTAGTTAAAAAACAGTTGATGCGCCAACTTTAAATGCAACGCTAGTTAATTAATTCACAAATTAATGTAGCTTAAATGAACTCTTACGTGAAAATGCTAAAATTACTGATGTATATTTTGAATCTTTCATTAGTGAACGATGTATTATATAAGAATAGAAACACGTAATAAAAGTAACCAAATCATGTTTCATTAATCTTGTTGAAATTTGATTAATTGATTATACAAATTAATAAAATTTTAAAAAACAAATGAATTTGTGCGACTTTTAATTAAAGAAATCCTCTCAAAAAGAGTAAGAATTAAATATAAGCGAAAGAATAACGTATAAGTAAAATCGATTAGCAGTACTTACGCAGTTACGCGTATTAATATTATTATAGTTTGACGGAACAAAAATTTCGTGATGGGAAAAAATATTTTTTTTACATCATCATCGTGTAAGAATGATTAATTAATGCGATTAACAGTTAATACTCTACAACTTTTACGCCTACAACTTATCTCACTTTTCTTATTTTAACTTAAATGTTCGTTAGGAAGTAATTGTTTGGTTAACTTTTATCAATTTTTGCAAAAATAACAAAATGCATCAAAATTTAATTTATATAAAATATTTTTTTTATATGAACATCACCACGTTGAGATCTTTTTTAAAACATTTTAATGATTTCTTTTTGCATTCATACAATTTAACTCTTGTAATCAGGATTTAAATGGAATATAAAAAAAAAACAAAAATTAAATAAAAAAAATAAGATATCCTACAATATTTATGTTAAAAATGTTGGATAGTTAAAAAAAAAATATATATAAAAATAAAACTATATACATATAATGTATGTCAATGCATGTACATATCTAAAATAGCAACAAATGAGTTAATAATCAATAAAAATGAGTTAATAACAACAATTTTTTTTTCAATATATAAAACAAATAAATAAAAAAAAATCAGATTATAAAAAAAACAAATCTTCTTTTAAATCCAATGGAATATCATATCTAACTCTATTCTTATTTCTATTCCTTTGTTTATATTTTGTAAATTTTGGTATATACCCTTTAATAACATGATATTGAAAAATATCATTATTAAGTTCTTCAGGTAAGATTTTTTCATAAGGTGATATTTTATCAAAATAATCTTTTGAAAAAATATCATAATAACGAACTAAAGGGATTAATCTTTTCAAACTTTTCTGTAAAATGATGAAATCATCCTCCATCCATTTAGCAATTTCTTTCTCAGCAAGTGAAGGATTCCTCGCAATACCCCATTCTATCATTTTATCCCAAATAAAAATTTCTTCGATATTTAAATTTTCTTGATCGAGGATCGTACAAATCATCTCTTCTTCCAATAATAAAAACTTTTCAGAAGAAAAGATATATTTAGCCCTATCACAAATATAGTTTAAATAATGATCCTTCAATTTATAAAATAAATGATCATATTTTAAAATAGTGCGTAAAATTTCGAGAGGGTCCGATGAAAAAAATTCCATTATATGTTTAATCAAAAGTTCTTGAACGTATTCAATAAATGACATATCAAGATTAAGTTCATCTGCTGCAATCAAATAATCCAAAGCTAATGTTCCATCATTAGGATTTATATCAATTTCTCCACAATATAAATATCTACAAAAAATAAAAAAAAAAAAATGTTAAATTTTTCAGCATATATATATATATATATAAAATAATTATATATCTGTCTATAAATTTAATAAATAAAAATACTTGCAATAAAATTTTTTGCAAGACTAATTTAGAAATATTTGGTTTTTTAAATATAAACTTTCCGTCTTTCATTTCAGCCCAAGTTGGGGAAAGTGCAGAATCAAAATATGATGATCGCATCCTCAAGATAAAAGAGTGAGCGTAAACAACTTCAACGTTTGGTTCTTCTCCAACATAAATTATAACATCACAGTTCTTTTTTTGAAGAAAACTTGTTTTCAAATCTTCAAGAACCTGAGGACCAAAAGCAGACTTTATTATCATAGCTGAATCACAGTTAGAGTAAACAAATGTAAAAAAAAAAAAAAATTAATAATGGTACCTTAATACCCCATATATATTAGATTTACGTAATAGGATCACGTGGCAAACAAACCACTTAAAAAAGATGTTACACAATAATTATTTTTCTTTTTTTCTTTTATTGATAAGCGTGGGAATCTTTTTACGGTAAAAATGATTTGCAAGGGGGGATATTAAAAAAGCACTTGCTTTTGTATTTCGTAAGTGCTTTTATATCGTTTGTCTATATATTATTGCCAAGATTATATATATTATTAGTAATAGTACAAAGTTGAATTATTGACAAGATTATATATATTATTAATAAATAGTACAAAGTTTGAATTATTGACTAACCCCAGAATTTATGAACACTGGATAAATATAAATTTGAGACAAATAAATACTTACACGTGTAAATCTGTTCGATTGTTTAACTTGTTATTTTGTTATTTGTTTCCTTTGTAAAGACAAACTTTCTAAGTATTTCCATGATGATTATTATTTTCTTTCAGAATTCACAACAAAAGTACTGCATTTAGAGATCATGATCTTTTAATAGAACAATTATTTCATTTTATATTATTTTTTTTTATTGAAAATTAGTATTATAACGGTACTAACATTCTTTTCTGTTGTTAGAATTATTATTTATTCATTCAATCAATAAATTCTTTTAACATTTCATAAAAATTTATTAAAAATATTGCGGATTGGATTTTATGACATTTAAAAAATCAAATAAAAAATTTAATATTGAAAACGTAAATCTCGTTTACAAAATGGTTAAGATCGTTCAGATTCATTGGATCATAAATAAAATACAATGGGTAATTTCCCAAAGCATCTGATAATCATAATAACCATAGATAATAATGCAGTGTTGCATATACTGCATAAACTCATATGCTGTTTCAAAAATTCCCAAATAATTGCGTATACAACAACATAACTAACTAAAATTCCAATTTAGTAAAAAATATTTTATAAAAATTTTAATCGTTTCTTTTTATAATTAAAAAATAATATGAAATATTAGTTACACGATGATCTCAATGTCTATATTCTTTAATTCTTACATGCAACTTATTTTCTTTTCAAAGTTGTGTAATTTTTTGATTATCAATTCCAAAAAAAGCGAAACAATAATTTCATTGTTTATCAACATACAACTACTATAATTAATAACTAGTAGTAACTAATGATCCACTCAGAAAAACCCAAGCCTTCCCACCACAGCTCAGCATCTTTGAGGCTTTTCTGATGGCGGAGCTTTTTGTGTATCAAATTCTATTATGATATATTACTAAGAATTTGTATTATTATTCCTTTTAAAGACTAAAGTAAATGAGAACTTCCATTAAGGGGAAGGAAGGACATGCATACAACTTCACTCCCTCATTTCATGAGTAATGAATGAATTGTTCAAAATTAGAATTTTTTCAATAGTTGTCACTTTAATATATACATATTTGGATACCAAAAAAAGGTGTTTAAAATGGTTTCATTAAATGACTGAATAACCAGAAATTAGCTAATTTTGCTCTAATCTCGGCTAAATGCGTATCATCTTGAGACGTCACTTAAGTGACTCAATGACTTCACGCCAATAGTAATTAATAATCCATGACTTTTATTGGTTAAAGAATTATTACACTTAATATATATTAGTAAAGGATCAAAAAATGATTTAACGTTAAATTGATTAATTGATTTTTTTTTTTTATTTGTTTGTTATTAAATTTATTTACTATTATTTTTTATTTTTAAATTTAATTCGGGCCAAAAATTAAACGATCAAGCAAAAGTTAGTAGTTATTACGTTATTACGGGTATCAATCCCCTATTTTGTAACAAATTTTCTAGAGTGAATGTTCTAAATTTAAATAAAATAAAATAAAATAAATAAATAAATAACTAAATATATTATTCAATTAATATTGTTTATATATATTTTTTATAAATATATTATTGTAAAACAATTACTTGTTTCAATTTTAGTCATCCCACAATCCAAAACAGAATTGTTATCTACATGCATAAAGTTTGATATTAATTTGGAAAGAAGAGTTTGATCATCCAATACAACATACAAATTTTGGTGATCACCTTCCAATCGGTTCATTAAAATAATTTTTTTAAAACTGCTCCTTATTCTCCGTGGTTAGTGAAAAACATAATAATACTGGATAGATGCAACTGTGAACATTTCATTGTTGATGCCATTATTATGCAAAAAGCTGTATAAGAAAGTAATTGTGTTCGTAATAATCCAAATCTAGTCTGATAGTTACGTTGTGTATTTTTTTGTTGTATCGCTAAAACTTGGTCCAATATGACACAGAACGTGTTATTGTTGAATGTACATTTGTTATAGTGTTACCCGGCTATTTTATCCACTCTTCGTAATTGTTGAACAAACATCGGAATGAGTAAGTATTTCTTATATCATCAAAGTTAAAAACTTATAAGGTTTTCATGGGAACAGCTGGTTAAAAGAGAATTATAGGAATCATAAAAGTCAATAATATTTATTTTATTATCTTGTTTTAGAAGTTAGATAAGATAATAATAACAATGTATCCGTACTAGCAGATTAACGATAAATGCAGTTTTTTTTTAACGGAAATATATTATTAAGTATACTTTCCCTATAAAAAAAAATTCTGGAATAAACTCTGATAAATGATCATTTCTAGTTTTTACTCCGAAAAAACTCAGACATGTAATATAGGGTTTATAAATAAATTTGTTATTAATTTTATATTATTGTTATATAGAAAAATAATATATTATTATATTATAATACAAAAAAAAAATTAAAAAAAAATACATGAGATTCATAAGATTGCAGTTATTTTAATTATTCTTTTTAGATTTAATTATTTATTGAGGGTTCGTTCTTTTACCTTTATGCTTAAGTTCACATTATACTGCATATTTTATTGGCTCCGCAATTTTTTTTTTTTTTTATAGTACTGTAGGACCTTCTCACTGCATAGAATAAGATGGATAAATTACAGAGGACATGAGAGATGCTTCACCTTGCAGAAAATCTACTGATACAGCTATTACAGCTATCCAAAACTTTTTATAGACACAAAAAAATTCTTAGCCAATAAATTTCTTCTCACTCATCATATATATAATATATATCGTTCTTTAATTTTCTAGAAAATTGTTACGCGAAGAAAATCTTAATAAACAAACTTTTAGGTAATTTAATTCGTCAGTCAAACAATATAACGAAAAATGGCTTAGCGTACCGTAATAATAATATATCTTTTATTGTCATACGAAGCCACCGTTAATCGGGAAGTCTATAAAGACGTATCATATGTAATCAAGTCATGACATTATCGTCAAAATCTTTTGCGGAATAATTTTTTTTCAGCTCTAGATTTCTGGATCTCTATGTTTTTTTTTCAGACATTTTTACAGTTATTAAATTAATGGGCTCCAAGTATTGAGAAGATCTATAGCATATTCAGCCTCAATTTCCGGGTATATGTTGAAATAACATTTGTAAAAGCTACCAAAAAAAGAATTTCAATATTTCTTGAGTTTGGCGCTATTCATGCCGCAATAACCATTAACCGATGCAAGCCTTTATTCATAATCTATAGATGATGGATTAACAATTTTTTAATTTTCGTATATTCGGCGAAAAAAAAAAAAAAAAAGTCACCTGATAGATTTCTTTGTTTTTTTTTCTTAGCCTCAAACCCATTTTTGGAAAGTCAAAGATCGATTGCCAAAATAATGAGGCGCAGCAATAAACAAAAAAAAGAGGAGAAAAAATTTTTTGGATTTTTTNAACCGATGCAAGCCTTTATTCATAATCTATAGATGATTGAAAATTTTTTTTTTTTTTTTTTAGAATAAAGCGTATAAAAAAAAAAGTCACCTGATAGATTTCTTTGTTTTTTTTTCTTAGCCTCAAACCCATTTTTGGAAAGTCAAAGATCGATTGCCAAAATAATGAGGCGCAGCAATAAACAAAAAAAAGAGGAGAAAAAATTTTTTGGATTTTTTTATTATTTCAAAGTAAAAAATAAAACAAAATTATATTATATACAAAAGAGTATACTTTTTAATATAAAAGTTAACTAAAATGATCAAATTTTTATTTTTATTTGATTAATTATAATTAAAATAATTAAAAATTTCGATTATTTATTTTATTATTATAATTGATCTTCAAAATTTTTGAACTATTTAATATAATTAAATATAGAAAATTCGAGATAATTTTAAAAAAAAAATCATTTTATATATTTTGATATTCCATTAATTCTTAAATTGTTATGATCAGTTATTTTAAAAAAGTATATTTATTATAAAAATAAGGTCTGATGTGCATTAAATGCTACAATTCAATTTGATTTTTGTTTTCATGACATAAACAAGTCATGTTGGAATGATCGTTAGATGTACGGAATCGATAAATGTAAAAAAAAAAAAAAATTTTGAAAATTTTAAAAAAAAGGACCGCAAAAAAATATTTATTAGGAAATAGTTTAAGAGGGAGAAAAATCGAAAATATTGAAGCTTATAATCTCAGAGAAAAAAAAATCATTTTTTTTTTAAAAAGGAAAATTTCGCAATCTTCGGATCTACATTACACAAAATTACACATATTTTGGAATAAATAAATATCGTTAAACACATTTAAAATTATAAAAAAAAACATACTTAAACATTTACTCTTTTTCTTACATTTTTATCTTACTAATTCTGTTTTCTTTTTTGTTTTGTAATTTACATTAAATAAAATTTTGTTATTTATAATAAATTTTACTTAAAACTAAATTTTTTATCCTTTTTTTTTTAAGAAAATATTTTTAAAGAGATTAGTATTAATTCCTTTTACCGTTTTAAAAGAAAATAGTTTTATAATATTTCGAACATAATACACATATATACTTATATAATAGTTTTTTTTCATTCCCTTACTTTTTCAGTTAAAACTTGGTAAATTTCTTTATTAATATTTGTATTATTTATTCATATCTTTATTGTATAATAATAATAATTTTTTTTTTTTATACCTACAAATATATAAGTACTTATGATTTTTTTATTTCTATTTTATAATTTCTATTTTCTAGAAGAAATAACGATTAAAAATTTTATTGTTGAAAACCTGATTATTAAGGGAATATATGATTTAATTATTTATACAAAAAATAATTATCTAAATAACCAACCATATACGACATCTGAAAAATTTTCCGTTACACATTTATATATGATCAAAAAATTTCCCCTTTTTATTCACTTTACTCTTTTTACTAAATAATTTTCTCTCTCTCTCTCTCTTTCTTCACTTCTTCACTTCTTCACTTTTTTTTCTTTTTTTCTTTTTTTTTTCTTTTTTTTTCTTTTCTTTTCTTTTGTTTGTATATATATATAGAAAATTTTCTTCAAAACAGCTTTTATCAAAAAATTTATTCCAAACTTTTATTTCAAGTTTTATCTTCATACTTTTCATTATCTTTTTTTAAATAAATCTTCTTATTGAACATCAAGAATGGATGAAATAACGGCACAAAAGAAAACACAAGAACTTTACTCCTCTGTAAACAACTTACTTAATGAACAAAATATAGAAATTAAGAAACTTTCCGAGAAGCTAAATGTTAAAGAGGATGTTATCAGAGTATGTTCGAAATGACTTTATCGTTCAACCGATTAAAAGATGAATTTAATAATCATCTTTTATTTATAGAATATCATGAAAGAAGAACGTCCAGTAGCAACTAAAAGAAAACCGTCCACAGCATTTGATATTTACTGTGTGCAAAGAAGAATGGATGGCGCAGGTAAAATAATAAAAATAATGATTTTCATTTTCTAAGATTAGAATTTTATTTTATTTAAAAAATTGAATTTTATTTTTTTTTTATTTTTTTTTTTAAAAAAAAAAAAAAGATGTGAATGAAGACATTGAAGCCTGGATAAACCTTTCAAAATGCGATAAATCAACATATAGTCAGATAGCGAATGATTATAATAATGAACAAATGTATGAGACTGTACAATATATTGATGATAAGAAAGAACGAGAACGTACTTTAAAACAAAACATCCAAGAATTAAAAAATCTGGTAATTAATTTATAGATTTATTTAATTTTTTTTTTAAAAAAAAAGAGATTTTTTCTTTTTAACGAAAGAAAACTTACTATTCTATTATAGTGTAAAGCAATTAGTCAAGAGTGTGGGTGTCATCTTCTTGTTGTTGGTGTTCAATCTAATATTGAGAATTCAACTGCATTTGGAACGGGAAATCTCAGAGATTTCTGTTCTGATAAAGAAACAACAATAAATCAGTTTAAAATTGACCTTGTTGATTATGTTTCGAATTGTCCTAATAATCAAGGTGCGTATGATCACATCGTCCTTTAAAATTAAACTAAATTGTAAAGGTAATAACGATTTTTTTTTTTTAAAAAAAAATAAATAAATAAATAGAACAAATTAGTGATGGTGATAACAATAATGATGATGATAGTGTAACTCATGAACAGAAATTATCAGAAAAATCCGAAGAATATAGTCCAAATTCTTTTGATTTTACTTTAACGAGCAATGAAACAACTCCTGATGAATACAATTCTAATGGGTTCAATCATAAAAAGAGAGGTGTAATGGATAATGATGAGGATTTTAACATTCTCATAACGAAAAATGGTCGTGATGTTAATTTGGAATCGGTGAATGTAAGATCAGAAGTGTATAGATTCCTTGAAAATAAATTTCGTGAGTATAATAATTTTCGTTTATAATTCAATTAAAATGTTGCTATATTTATGTGATGTCTTTTTATTTTATGAAAGAACAAGATACGAAAATAAAAATGAGTATCCCTTATGGTGATTGGAATAAACAAGAAAGTTTCGTTGTGTCTGGTTGGCCAAGAAATATTGAATTTAAAGAGTGGGATGTTTTGAGTATGAACGAAAAGAAGAAAGTATTTATGTCATTGAGTAGATTACAATTTCATGTTCGACTTGATTCTAGCTTATCAAAGGAAAGGCGAGCTTCTAAGAAAAAGAGATTTGTGTAGAATTAATAATTCTTTCATTTTCTTACTCATTTTTTATAGATAGTTTTTTTTTAAAAACAAAAAAAAGAAAGAAAGAAAAGAAGAAAGATTATATATAAATTCATTAGCATTTTTTTTTTGAATTTTTACGTACGTTAATATTCTTAAAATAATAAATAAATAAAAATATATATATTAAATAATGATTTTGCAAAAATTTAAATTTATTGATTTCAATCGTATATTTGATTTACGCTTAATTCTGATAAAATAAATAAAATAAACAAAGAACGCTATCCGTGGTAATTTCGTCCAAACCGTTGATTTCACCAGATTTCTTATGCAAGTGCAGTAGGGAACCCTGTTTCAAATTAGAATGGCGCTCAAAGGATGTTTTGGTTATATCAATGAAAAACAAAGTAAGTTATGCGCGTATTTCACAAAACCGTATATGACACAGTAAATGAGAACGTTAAACATAAAAAAATTTTCAGTAAATAGTTTTATACGATAAATCTGATTGGCGTTTAGTAATCTAAATTTGTTATTATTTGCACTAGCTTCAGTATAATTTCATCTTTATTATTCTTTTGTATTGATTTTGATGTCTAATTGTTCTGGATTCGGAACATAAACGATAAGCATCATTAATATTCAATAAATTGACACTTTAATATTTACGAATTCAAACTTCAAACATTGCCTAAACATATTTTACAACAATTTATTCCATCTATTAGGTACGATAATCTTCATGCTATATGAAGTATTATATTATGGAAATTTACCCGAGGAATTATATGGACTTATTGAAAACTTTAATGAATTCTCGGGCTCTAATAACAAGAACCGAGTAATAAATCGAAACCTCAACTAAAAATAAAATAAAATAAATAAAATTAAAAAACCATTGACTCAAAAATTATTACATATCAATATACCTAATCGCAAATTAATCCAATAGATTAGAATTACCGTTTAACTTCTTCATATTACTTTTCGCGAATCTCGTGATGAACTTGCGCCTAATAAGTCTTCATGATGGGCACTGTAAGAAGGATCCTTATGAAAATCTGATGGTGGCTGTGATCAATGTTCCAATAGGGCTTATTTTTGTGAAACTCATACAATAGTAAGTTTCTAGTAATAACGTCAATTACGGGTGTAATTCACCTGGTCGGAACCATAATTAGTTCTGTGTGATATCCAGGAGCCTGATTGTAAAAAAATTACTAAAATTACTGGAACTTCGTCTGATCCATGCTTAGTCGTCAACATTCGGGCGAGCATGCCTCATAAGGAGCAGAGTTATTTCTTTCCGTAGCGTAATAAATTCGCCGGTCTTGAGTGAGTTTGTTAGGTATTTGAGAGGAGTCATGTTTGTATATTATATTTGTTTTTTTATTTATGAGGCTATTGCACTTTTTCTGTTTAGTGATGCTATCTTTTAAGACTGATGACGTTTATGCTCTGAAAATTCGATCAATAATTTGTTGTGTAATTTGAAAAGATATTGGGGATGAGATTAAACAGGTTTGATCTAAAGCAGTGAGTAACCCGCAACAGGCACCCGCTGTAACTTACGGCGAATACCTGCAATAACTTGCTATTTTTTACGGCAGGTACCAGTTGATTTATGCAGTGGGTTCTTTAATTTCTTTATTCATAAAATTCATATACTAAAGCTGTGGCATTTATAACTAGATTCATAAATTAAGTATAAAAATAATTTTTTTATTAATAGTATCAAACATTGATTGTAGGGCATTTTACGGCAGGCACCTTCCGTCTGTTATAACGGATATCCGCCATTTGTTACGGCAAATACCGGCGGGTACCCGTTAAGTTATATAACGTCTTGCTATAGACCTCCTATAGAGTGATTGGAGCGTTTACATCGCAGTCGCCAAAGGTAGAGGTGAGACGCAACGGTCGTAACGCATGATGATAGTAGCACGTTACTTTTATGTGTTTGTTTTATTTCTACTAATTTTGTGATGTGTCACATAAACTTGTGGACGTTAGAAACTGGTTCCACTTTGCAAAAAAATAGTGTTACGTGGATGATTTCACTGTACAATCGTGTCGCCAGTTGATTACTAGTAATTAACGTTTTTAATTTAGCCAGAGTTGTGATACGTCTCAGTCTATGTTGCTGATTTTTATGAGTTCTATTGTTACAGAATTAGTTGAAGACTTTGCTTTGGATTGGCGTATCAGCCACTTTCTAGTGTCTTGCTAGTTATGGATCTTTGTGTAAATTAACTAATTATTGCTCAGTAACACATGATTTACTGTGCATTTAAAACTATATTGAGTGTCTCCCGTCTTTGGCTTTTATAATTTCATATTAACCCGAAAACATGCCACGTACATAATAATATTTGTGAGCAATCGCTTGACATTAGCATTATTATATGTTATACCGTGATAGTTACTTGACAGGTTCAATCGATCAAATAAGTAAACGCTAAATAAATTTGTCGAATAAATGAAAATTATAAACAATGATGTGTTAATTTATTTATTTTCCTTACCAATTTTTATTAATAATCTTTATGGTCAAAGGATTATAATTAAATAAGTGGCGAAATGTAATACTAATAAAATAAAATGATGTTTAAAAGAAATCGCTTTAATTAACCAATTGCAATTTTAATCGTGTTTAATAAATAGGCATGTTAAACGATTCTCAGCATGATTGTATTATGCACTACTGGCAATGACATAGTATAACATGCGTCATATGATTATTATTACAGCAAAAATGGACGGTCTAGCCTCCCTATCGTACTGTGCCTATCTAAAGCCAAAACAGAGGACACCCTTGTCACCTAGGCCTAATATATATGATATTCACGCACTATAATACCCAGAAACCATTTCTCTACCCTCTTGCACACCACACCTAAATGCTATCATTATCCTATGTAAAAATTCTTCCCCATGCAAAGAACACAAATAGACAATATGTCTATGACACCTCTAAACATCCTCCAAAGACACATAATTATTATGCCCTTTCCTACACATATAGAATACTAATCGAACTTCTTGTCTCTGTTCGTAGCGCCATTTCTTCTAATACGAGCTACAAAATTGATTTCCAAAAGTATCAGCTGCTGATGTGTAGATGTGTGCTGGTACTGTAGGTTAAGCCTAGGGCAAAAAAAAGTTAAATAGGGATCCTATCTACGTACACGAAAACGGTATGGGACACCATAACCCGTAAATATGCGGACTACATAGTCAATTGAAGCCTGTATGGTAAAACTTCCTGTGTTAGAAGTACTATGACTATGGTTCCTGTGTTCACGAGCTCTAACCTGGTCTCTCACAGGCACATCACATAAAGCTTCGTTGATTAACTGGCATCTACAAAAGCAATTAATAGCCAGCCGTTAGTTCGTACTAGTATACATACTATATAATGAACTAACGACCCTAACGCCCTAGGGATGATGTGGCAAGTATCCTGTTGGTGGTTAGCAGTTTTATTAAAAAAAAAACTGCAGAAAAGAAATACACTCTCTGCCTCTTTAAAGTGCCTATAATAAAAAAGTAACTTTCGCAATCGCATTTCTTTGTTTCTTTTTGTGCCAATCGAGATTTTTTATTTGGATTTTCACCAGTAACACTCTTATATGTCCCTACCTGTGACAATACCATCGTTCATTCCAACTTGCTTTGACGATCATGTCGAACATAACTAAGTCCTGTCCTTTCAAGATTTTTTTATCCATTTTTCATATTCCTCAACCAGGATTTGATAGGTTTTCGCTCTTTTCACTTCCTTAGATCCTTCTGGTATTGTATTATCATCTTCAATGCTTTCCCACATGTGCCCGACACCATGTGTTGCGTCAATAATAAAATCAATATTACCATCACTTATATCCATATCAATTTCCTCACCAAGTTCCCCAGTTTCATCATTTATATCAAAAATTGATTAAATATCTGATGGTATTGACATTACAAAACAGAAATATATGAAAAGAGATGGAAAAAGTTTATTTATCACGTGATAATAACGAATAAATATTCAAATTTATCGAAACGTCAATATGTCTAACAAAAGTTATTTTTATTTTTTAAGACAAGTTTAATTTTAATTTTTTTTTTCAAAAAAAATTGAAAAAATTGGCGTTTTTGATAATAAGTATAATGAAGTATATATACTGTATATAATATATATATATACTCACGTGACATTATCAAGAAATAAGCCAATCAGAAACGAAAATGACGGTAACCAATCAGAACGATGGGAAATTAGTATATGAATCGCATAATTAATCAATACTAATCGTTTTCAAAAAGTTTATCGATCTTTTAATACAATACAAAAGACGAACTTAGCGTCGCCTCCAAAAAATGGTAGCTGGATTCATTTTGCCGGTTCTTTAGAATTAGGGTTAGGACTTAGGACTATAGTTAGGTTTAAGGTAAGGGGATTAGGATTAGGTTTAGGGTAAGGGATTAAGGCTAGTAATTTGTCACGTAGTGTCACATTCTAGCTGTTCTTCAATTTTATAATTAAGTTGAAATTTTACTGTATATGTAAAAAAAACCTCTAATTGTCGCCCATTAATTGTCACATCCATAATATTATATGTAACCCGGCAAAATGAATCCCCATTTTTTTTTGGAGGCGAGTTCAATACAAAATGACAAATCATATGATTATTACATGTTGTATTTTCTTATTAATATAAAAAATGTAGATATTGGAAATAGTAATCAATAGGATGAAATGTCACGAATTTATGTTAAACTTCAATAAATAATTATTTTCCAGGGTTTTTTGTAATACCATTTAACGATAGTGATGATGATGCGATTGACAGTTACTTAGGGTTGAGGACCCTTTATAGTTAACGCACTGCTGAATTAAAAAACAAAGGTAATTATAAGTCACAAGATAAAACGATAAAACGAAGTTTTTTACAGATACATCATCGTTCCCGGTTGACAATTAAATATTCCGTTACAAAGATAGAGCTGCTCATTCTTTCTCTTCTATTAATACGATTCATAGATATTTTATCATTTATAATTTAATAATGCAACGCTGAAATTAGTTCACGAAATTTTATTATTTTTTTCGATATACATGTTGTGCCTCAGATGAAATCTGGAATAAATATTTTAAATATTGAGTTATTTATTGTAAATAATGTTATATTAAACATTAAATTTTTCAGTATTAATTTATTTTATTGGCCAGTTAAATTTATTAGTCATATTTGTAAATATATAATTCAGATTTATATTTGTAGAAATTGCCTTCTTAAAAAAATTATAGTTGTCATCTGACGTAAATCGACACCTGAGGCATAACATACATAAATGAGCCAACTACTAAGTAAATCGTAATGAAACGGATGATAGTGAAAGTTTAAATGGAGGTCATATTAATCTTATCTTATTTATTACACTATAAATTTATTAACATCATTATAATAGTTTTTTATTGTTTTTTTTTCCTCCAGTATTACGAATTTCCATGGATACTGATGACTTCAAAAGAATATTTTTTTTTTTTCATAAGCTTATCAAAGGTTTGTTAAAACGATTTCTAATTTCTGAAGTAATGCAATCAAAAACAAATAAGTCTAATATATTAAAACTATGCTTCGCGGTTTAGAATCGACAATAAATTAGAAAAAATGTGTTTAATTCAACTGGCCAAAACGATAACATGGAAAGAAAAGTAAGCGTATTTATTTTAGTTGATATGTATTAGATATATTTTTATTATAAAAGCATGTTGTTATTATAGTTGAATCTCGTCCGACTTTAACACGGTATAATTATATAAATGAATTCTCGTTCGTAAGTACCCGCTAGCCGTCTAAAGAATGCAAATGAGAAAGAAGCGCACGTTCTCCTCGGGCAAGTTTGGAAGAAAATGCGCATTATGGAGTAATAGCATAACGAGCATCTCAGTTCGTGGTACGTTGCTATAAAATTCCATTGGCTTCTTTAACAAGTTATATATTATTTCATAAACATTCAACCCTCTTAGCTTTTAGTAATTCGTGATAAAGTAATTCAATAATAAAAATACTCTATATTTTACCGATATTTACCTATTACCTTTGTACACTTCCCGCATGTAAATCCTTTTAGAATAATTGAATTTCTAGTTCAAACTTGTACAGTAGTAGAATTTTTGTCTTATTGGTTGCTACAGACGCTCCAAGAGAGGCTGTACATTACAGTTAATTAACGAAGTTACTTTTAATCATCTGCTATAAAATCCGTGGTAGCACCACAGCTCTTGATAAATGCTATAGTTGTCAAGTGAAATTAAATGATTTTCATTTGGGTAGATATTTTAGGCGGTTCATAATATTAAGAAATGAAGAGGATTTTTTTTTTTACGGAAAAAAATTACATTAGAGAAAGAAAAGGAAAAATCTTGATTAATAAAAGTTTAAAATTAGATTATTTATAGATTTAATTATAGGACCAATAATACAGCTACTCGGCCACTCGGCTAATCTTGGCCTCATAAATGCAGAACTATCGGTTTCACCAATCACGTTGCTTTTTGCAAATACCGCAGTTACTCGGCACTTCGCCAATGTGAAATGCCGAGTAACTAATAAATAATTGTCCAATCATTTTTTATCATTGTATCAGTATCAATATTTATAATATTTTGTACTCATTAATTTTTCCTCATAGAAAATAACCTATATAAAGCTCAAAAAATTTCACTTTGAAAAAAAAAAAATTCTTGTCAATTTCAAAAAAAAAAAATGCCACTTAAATTAGATAACCTCGACTTATCAAAACATGTTATAATCCTTACTGGTGCAACTGATGGTAAAAAAATATTTTTTTCTCAAATTAAAATTATGCTTAAATATAACAAATAATTTTATTTTATTTTAAGGCATCGGTAAAGAAATGGCGAGAATTTTAGCTGGATTTAATCCCAAGAGATTGATTTTACCAGCTCGTAATATAGAGAAAGGAAATAATTTATTAGAATATATTAAATCTTCTAACGGAAATGCAAATAATGTTGAAATTTGGGAAATGGATTTAGCAGATTTACAAAGTGTAAAAAATTTTGCCAACAAGTTCATCAATGAAATTGGAGAATTACATATTTTAATTAATAATGCAGGTAAATAAAAAATGAAAAATAATACTGCGCGGTCAAATCAATACTGTTTTAATGAAATTATAGTTGTGAAAAGTCAACTTAATTGATCATGACCGGATTAGATTAATAACATTATGACTAAACGACACGTTTATTTATTTATTTGTTTGGTATATCTTATAGGTGTAGGTGTACAAAGTCGAGTCATTAAAACGAAAGATAACTTTGAATTACAATTTCAAGTAATTTATTTATTTATTTATTTTTGCAAGTCGTTTGTTTCGCTTTTTAACATTTATTATACATTATTTTTAGGTTAATCATTTAGCACCATTTTTACTCATTTGGTCGTTATTGGATACGATGAAAAGATCGGTTTCCGCTGAATTACCTGGAAAAATTGCATTTACTACTTCAGTGGCCAATCAATTTGGCGAAATTGATTTTGATAATTTAAACCTTGAAAAAAATAATTATTGGCATCCTTTTAAAGGTTATGGAAATTCTAAATTGATGGTAAGCGATATCAAAGATTGTTTATTTAAATAATAAAATCTTTTATTTATTTATATATTTTTATTTTTCCTTAAAAAAAAAAAAAAAAAAAGAATATTATTATTGCCAAACAATTAGGTCGTATTGTTCAAAGTGAAAGTAAGTATTAAATTATTTTTATTATCATATAAGAAAAATGATTTTAACCTTTTTATTATATATATATGTATATAGATATTACGACATGTTCAATTCACCCTGGCGTAATTCATACAAATATTACTCAATTGAGTAGCCCTTTTTTTACTTCTTTATTTAAAATACTTGTGAAAATAACTGGAGCTGAGATAACAGCTGAACAAGGTGCCATCAACGTTCTTTATCCTGTATTTTCTCTCGAGACGGGAAATTACTATAATGAAGGAATTGAGGATGAACCAAATAAAATCGCTTACGATCAAGAAATTGCAAAGAAATTGTGGGATGTTTCTGAGCAAATATTAAAAGATCATGGAATGATCTAAAAGTTTAGTTTTCTTATTATTTTTTTTTTATACCAAATTTTTTTATGTTAACGTACAATATTAATATCATCATCTTATCAATTATTATCTTATCTATTATTATCTTATCAATTATTATTATCAATAAACGAATTTATCTATTAAAGTAAAAAGTAATTTTTTTTAAAAAAAAAAAGCTCGTATTTTTGCGTTTATCATCCTCATTTTCGTTTATGACATTTGATTTAATAAAAACATCTAAAGTCGCCTATATCATTCAAGCGATTGATCTTATTATTCGTAATAAAAGAAATAACTTGTTAGAATCTGTCATTTTCGTTTTAATATATTTTCCCATTTGTTTTTATATTTAAAAGTACGTATCTTCGGCCAGTGTGAGGTGATCCTCAATCATTACGATCAATTGCGATCAAGTTTGAGCAAATTTCTCTTCACAAAAAAAAAAAAAAAAAAAAAAAAAAAATCTAACAGCATAAATTATAAATGATATATAACATTTATATGATTAATATTTACGTATTAAATTAGTTATTAAATATCATTAATTCTCTACGATCAATAATTTCGAATTATAAAAAAAAAAATGATATTAACGCGATAAAAAGAAATATTATCATCGTATGACAGAGGTTCAATTTGAGTCTAAACGTAATATCACTATGTTTGATTCTAAAATTTAAACGTACTTATATTGACATGTCCCAGTGAGATGTGCTGCCAGCATAGTTTTTTGAAAAACGTATAGTGAAATTTGTCATATTACTGTAGGATATTAAATGGATCTTTATACTGTAAGTTTACTGTTAAAATTGATGCAATTCCCCACCTTAATAATTCTTCGAAATTCTGCAAAAGTATCCTAAAGAATTATGTCTTTCAGAGTAATAGCGCTTTTTCCAATAAAAAAGCATTCAAGTTTCGACAATAATACTCTTGGATACATTTCCGTGGGAAAAAAAATATTTTCTTTAGGATTTTCGAAAAAGCGAGGTATTATGCTATTCTTAAGTTATTGTGTATTCTTTACATTTAAAAAAATATTAAAAATTTATTGAATTTTCAAGAATCGCGTAATAATTTCATGGAATAATAAAAATCTTTATTATAATTTTTTTTGAGACTAAAGATAGTTTGACATATAATCACTCTCTGTATAAGAACAACACCTTTATAAGCACCTATTTTTACTAACCTACATACCAGTTTTAATTTTTTATTAATAATTTTCGCCTTTATACAGCTAGTTAATTTAAAACTATAATTGTCCGAAGCGGAGTGGAGGACTTTTACATGTTAGTCTGTCCACACGTGACTTATATACACGTGACATATTTTTTTTTTATTTTAGCTTAATACTTTTTATACTATTAGCTTATTAATTTGTTTAGAATTAGACTTTATTAAACTTTAGTTTAACCTTCATAAGATGTATATAATAAATTTAGTTGTTTTTAAATTATTTCTTCATGTAATTTAAGATTCATTAATAATAAACAAAAAAATATAATAAATGAAAAAATATAACTTATATCTTGTGTAATTTATTTTCGTTATTAAAATCTTAAAATAATAAATTAAAAATATAAAATAGATAGCCAGCCTGTATTTATTCATCCTGGAACACTTAGAAAATGCAAAATTAGAGAGAAAGACGTTGTGCTCGTGATGTTTATAAATCGTTGCAAAATATAACACCAATAAGATTTCACTTTGGAAAACGTGCAGCATGACGCCCGCTTCGGATGTTTAACAGTCACCGTTACCTAGTAAATAAATAGACAGAAATCATTTAGATTTACCTGCTGGAATGATAACTTTAATGTTTATATAATGGACCCTTAAATTTCTTTCATCTTGACAATCTCTTAAAATAGTTATAAATATTTATATCAAAAATGTAGATTTTAATAGATTTTACATTAATTACTCATAATATAAAAAAGTTTAATCTAACTTTATTTTAATAGTAAATCAATAGTCATCTATTATTAAGAAGTCGTGAAAATCTTAATGCACGAGCGTTGCTTATTACGGTAATATGTTGCGCCACAACTACAACTTCGTTCAACTTTCAATTTATTTAATCCTTTAGTATTCTTTGTTGTATCCCCCTTCAGAATTCTATAGTTTGAACATGCCGCTACATCATAACTGCAAGAAATTATTTAATTTATTATTTTATTACTTTTGGAATAAATTTTAATAATATTATTTATTTATCTAAGCAAATTATGATATTTTACAATTTTAGAAATATTTTTTGTCTTATTCGCAATATTTTGAGCACAAAATTTATTGTTACTGTATTTAGAAACATTTATGTCATTAGCCAAAAACTCAAAAAAAGTTTAAATACTATATTTTTTTGGAAACACTGAGAGAAAATATATAAAAAAGATGTTAAAATAAAAATTTTAATTTTCTGGTTTCGTTACAATTTTTTACCGACAGTTGAAAATTTCCTAACTACTTTGAAGATAAATTAATTGAATTATATTTCCATTTATTTAATTATTAAATAACTTCTTAGTTGAATCACAATAATTCAATTGTAAAAGAATATTCACTATCAATAACAGATCACTTGTGCTTTTCCGTGTAACAATATTTTTATTTTGTATGGTGCCGGAAGTCTATACTCGACAATAAAAATGTAACACTTAAAAACTGGTAACTTTATTCTTTGAGGTAAACTCTATCAAGATCTGTGTTTAAAGTTATTAGCATTTGAAATTGCATGATTTTCATATGATCGGTCCAAATTTGAAACAAAATATGCTGATCAGAATTTATGAATAATTCGGGCTGACTCCATGCATTGTGATAATGCCAGCCCGAATTATCATAATATGAATCAAATGTAATTTTTTTTTAAAAAAAAATTTTTATCAATGATGACTTTTATAAAATGGTAGCTGCGATTTTATTGCTGAAATCCACTTTTTCTTATTTACACAAGAAATCCCGGTTTTTTATTGGCTGAATTCCAGATCACATGATGTAGAATCGGCCAACAAAATCACGTGATTGTTGAGTATAGACGCGTAAATGACCCAGGAATATATATACCTGTCTCTTATACACATCTAGATGTGTATAAGAGACAGCCTTTTTTAGGGTGTATGGTACACAGATGCGTCGCCATCATAGTGGAATTAGACGGAGTAAAGTTTTGATTTGCGTATTTTTACAGGATTTTCAATATCAGGTGTCAATTATGCGTACAACTCATAAAAGTCTCTGCAACATATAAAGGCGTAAAAATTTTATTTTAAAAAAAAACTAATCCTCTTCTACATAAAATTGACCAGAAATCTAATATGGAAGAATTTAAGCTCAGTAATGATATATTTGACCAAATAAAAGATTTTAACTATAAGGAATTAACGGATGAACAAGAATTGTTAATTGATAAGTTAATATTAGATAAGGAATTAAAAAAATGTTATAAAGAAAATGGTTTATGCAAAGATTGTAAACGGCTTAATAATGACAATAATTGGTGTCAGTCATGTAATGCTAAGCATTTTCAACAAAATTTCAAAAATTGGACTAGCGGAAATTATGAGGTTGATAATTTTATTCAAAAAGTACAACTTAGAGCTAAAGGGGATAAAGAAATTTTGGAGTGGATTGAATATAATAGATTTGAAAATGTTGAATATTTGGCCAAAGGAGGATTTGGAACTATTTATAGAGCAATTTGGAAAGATGGATATATAAAAAATTGGGATTCTGAAAATAATCAATGGAAAAGAAGTAAAAGTTGTGATAAAAATCATGAAAATTTTCCAGTTGTTTTAAAATGTTTACATAATTCTCAGGATATTTCAGACTTTTTAAGAGGAGTAAGTTACTTGTTTATATAATTATTAGGATATTGTCCTTTATAAAAGCTAAACTGATTATTATTTATTATTTATAAATTCATTTTTAGATAGAATCAAATCTTTTTACATGTTACCAAGATAATGTAATTCACTGCTATGGCATTACTAAAGATCCAGAATCTAATAATTTTATGATGGTAATGCAATGTGCAGAAAATGGCAATTTAAGACAGCGCTTAAATTATAGTTTTAATTCTATGAAATGGGGAGAAAAATTGGATATTTTACGAAGGATTGCAATGGGCCTTGAAAACATTCATGACAAAGGATTAGTTCATTGTAATTTTCATTGTGGTAATATATTAAATAGTTATAATAATTTTACCCTTATTTCTGATTTAGAATTATGTAGACCAGCAAATTTAATACCTTCTCAAGATGACTATAAAAAAATATATGGAGTGTTACCCTATGTAGCGCCTGAAGTTTTAAGAGAAGGAGAATATACTCAAAAAAGTGATATTTATGCATTTGGAATTATTGCATATGAAGTCTATACAGGGCTTCCTCCTTATCATGATATTGCTCATGATAAAATCTTAGCTATTAGCATTTGTCAAGGGCTTAGGCCAAAATCTAGTTATAAAATTCCTCAAGTAATTTTGGACATAATTAAACAATGTTGGGATGCTGATCCTTTAAAACGACCTTACGCAGGAAAATTTCGTGAATTATTAGATGATGTAAATAGTGATGAATTCAATAAGCAAAGTGAAGAAGCAGATAAAATTAATGAGAAGTTAACTTCCACTCTTTCATATACTACAAATCCTCATGCAGTTTATACAAGTCGACTTTTAGACTTTAAAAATCTACCAGAACCAAAAAATGCTATTGTTAACAAAGATGATGATAATTCAATTCAATTGGAGAATATTCAGGTAATTAATGTCCTAGTTTATATTAGAAAAAATATTCTTGAAATACTTATAATTTACAATTATTTTTTTATTTTCTAGAATCCATAGAAGCAATAGATTTTACTAAACTCGACCTAGGTACTTATTTACATTAGCTTGCTTTCTACATGGTTGATTTTACTAATAATATTAACAATTTACTTTAATTCGTTTTTATAGACGAAAACAACCAAAGAAAAAGAAAAGGAAGAAAATTTACAAATATACAGAATATAAATTTCTTTATTTGTGTCTATTATTTACTATTTATTTCTTTATCATTATTACAGTATGTATATTTTATTGGAATATATTTATTATGATTAGAATTTTATAAATAAAATTTCATAAATTAAACAGAAAATAAATAGAATGAATTATATGTATGTGTGATAAAATAATTTTAAATAATGAGTATTTTATTTTTATTTTTATTTTTATTATATAGACATCGGATCCGGGACTACAAGCAACTGCTAGTAGAACGAAATACAAAGATAACGAAACAAAACTAAGCTAATGCGAGTTCGTCCAATCCCCCAGGGATTAGGGATTGGAATCGATTAATCGAAAATCGACAAAACATAGTAAAATCGATTCTCGAGAATCGATTCTCAGCAATTTTTTACATCTAAGTTAACTTCATGCCGGCCAAGTGCTGATTATTTTTTGCTGAAATTAGAAACTGATTCAATGTCAGGTTAGTCGTCTATAAGAAAAATCTTGAAAAGATTCGATTTTCGATTCCAATCCCTATTTCGACGCAACAACTGTGCGAAATACTTAATCGTTTGGGTTAATTTTTTAATAGTAGGACTAGATGAATTGACCGCGTTAATATAAACGCCTAAGATTCTTTTAGAGGCGGTAAGCGACGAAATCTTTTTGTTGTGCGCGACCGTAAAAGTGAGTCGCTTTAAATAATTAGTATGGCTCAGCCCGCTCAGGTATCGAAAGAAATATAAAAATCACGTGATTTAATATGGCCAAATACTAACGCCTTTAAAGTAAATCAGAGATTTTATTTTATATATAAGGGGTTCATAAGTTGCGCATAAAACTTTTATGAATAATGTGCGCTCTACACGTATAAAATAATCTGATTTTCCCACACTGACTATGATTTCCCCTCTAACTGAACGTACTATCTAATATCTATCACATGCACTCTAGTCGACTCAAATCAAAATTCTTGATTTTTTGGAAGCAATCTGTAGAAAAATATAGAACACTTGGCATAAATGAGCTACTTTTAGATTTTTATAACTGTTATGGGTGAAACAGTCATGGTTAATATTATCGTAATGTAATATAAAAGTTTAAAAACAATTTTTTAAAAGATCATAATATATAAATTTTTAATAATTACATGTTTGTTACATACTAACTTGAACTAAAAAATATATATACATTTATAAAAATAAAACAAATAATAACAGATAAGATAAATAAAATAATAACTACCTAATAAATTTTTAAATTTTAAAAAATTTTTAAACTAAAGTTACTTTGAAATTAACCCTTGAAAATTCTTCTTTTTCATTCTTAATAAAGGGATGAATTTCTATTTGTCCTAAAAATAAAACTAAATTTACAGATTGAAAATTATCCCATGATTCTGGAATTTCTATACCAATTGTACCAACTTTACTTACGCCGGGCTCATCACAAAATATAGCATCTTGCGCAGAAGTTGAGTATAATTCGATATAAAACTTTGTTTGATCTTTATAATCTAATTTGAACACAAATTCTTGATTTACATGGACTTCTGTACCTTTTGATACCAATCTATTAAAAAATTGCCTTTCATTTGAGTTATCTTCTTTCCAAGGGTGTAATATTCCAACTCCATAAGTCATATCTATTACTCGTGAATGTATTGAGTCCATATTTAATCCATATTCAAGTGCTCCACTTACTACAGTAGCTAGAGGTTGTCTAGGTACAATAATAATATGTTGTTGAAATTCTTGTTCAATAGATGTTCGTAAATATCTTGATTTACCAAGACTTCCTGCCAAAAATATTGTAAGACAATAGTTACTTAACTTCAATTGTTCATGTATTAATTGAACTATTTGTTCTACTATTGGATTGAACATTGGTTTTATATCATCGTAACTAATTTTTATTTTCCATCCATTTTCTTTTAATTCTTTCAAATAAGAGTCGGTAACATATTGCTTAATATCAGGACAAATCTTCTCGAGATTCATATCATAAACGTTATAATGGTCCTTATTTTTGACCCTTTTACGAAATTTCTTAATCAAGCATTGTAATTGGTCATTATGATTTTTTCCAAGATTTTTTAAAGCGGTAGAGCCAACTTTTTTTGAAATAAATGCAAGAAATTCTTTATCTATGCAATTCGACCCGCAAAGTTTACTGGAACTTAATGATTTTTCTACTAATTTATTATTTACTATTTTTCTAAGAGTTAATTCCACTAATCCGTCTCCACAATTAACAACCAAAAAGTCTGCTATAAATTAATAATAAATTAACATATAATAATTTTAAAACTAAAAATAAAAAAAAAATTATACAAGTTCTTACATTTAGATTTTTCTTTTATTGTATTCATACAATCTATAGCAGCCGCTTCAACTAATTATCATTAAATTATGACGTTAGATTTAAAAAAACAATAACTTAATAAATATAATAAATATAGAAATTAATAACCCACTTCCTGTAATTAATAGTAATTTTTCTGAATCTTCGCTATCAATTAATTCAGCTTTACGCATACATTTTCTTATCATGGCCTTTTTTTGATGGGAAAGCTTCGAAGGTATGGATAATGTGATCATGACATTTTTGAAGAAATCTATTTCAGGTTTCAATACGGTATTTTTGATAAACTAACGGAAATATAAATATAGTTAAAGGATTTTAATAAAAAATTTTTCTAGTTATATTATTTAATTATTTTCAAAAAAAAATTACCTCTCCTAAATTAATAATAAAAATAATGTAAAAAAAAGAAATATTATTAATATTTTGATTTAAATATTTAAAGACGAGTTAGACGACAATATTTTAGTATATAAACCTATTTTTTTAAAATAACCAATAGCTTGTTCATCAACAAAATTTGATGATTTTAATTCGTATCTTTCATTAAATTGATCCGGCCAATCTTCGTTTATAATTATATTATTCACTGGTTCATATGCGTAGGCAAGTCCAGAAGATGTGGTTCCAAAATCTTTTAAAAAATATTTTTAATATTAATTAATATTTAAAGCAATTTATTATAAAAGAAAAAAAAATGACAATTTACCTATTGCGATAGTCAGTTTAATAGAAGGTTGTTTTGTAATATATTTAATTTCATTATTGATTTTATTGATTTCAGGAAATAAGTTTTCATTCAACCTGTCATTGGTTAAAATACGTCCAATTAATTCCAAAGGAATATTGGAAAAAATTATTCCTTTTTTTGTAGAGAGAGGCGAATGTTTCTCCTCTCTATTATCGTTATCAATTTTTAAAACTTTGTTATTTGAATATAGAACGCAAATATGTAAATCTATATCATCAGGATCATTAAAATTGCTTAATTGAAGTCTATGAAGTCTAATTGAATTGTATGACCATTCGATTAACTTAATGCCATTCATTGGTTCATCATTTGATGGCGGGTAATTTGCGTTAACGGAAATACAACATCCTTGAGATAACGGAAAGGGCGTTTTAATATGATAAGATTCAACTGCAGGTTGTAATGTAATAGATTCCTTAAAATACTGTACTAGGAATTCACGATTTTTTGGGCTGAAAACTGATAATTTTGAAGGTCTACCAATCATCATCCATATAATATGGCACTCTTTAATACTAATATTTGAATCTATTGAAGATTTTATTTTCGCATAAAAACCATTTAAGTCAAATAACTCAAATTTAACAAAATGTTCATTGACTAATGAGTCATTTCCCGAAATAATGTTTCCAAATACTTCATAATTGTCATCTTTCAATGAAGGTTCTATATTTATGCGTTTATAATGCTCAGTATTTTTATCATCTAAATCTTTCAAATCAATAATGCCTGTCATTATGATCCTAAACTCATCTTGCTTGGTATCATAACCTCTTATGATAGTATGAATTTTACTTTGTTGTTCCGTTTCAACTATATCATATAAAGGAATGATATTATCCAATTCAATAATTTCCAAATTATTCTTATTATCTTGAATCCAATTTGTCAAGTTATTTTCTTTGAAAACTTCGATAACATCACCTTGTTGTGTTACAAAATATGAATCCATATCCAAGTAAGGTTTTAAGGATGATTCGATTGGCGATTTTATATCAACCTTCTCATAATTACCAGAGGAAGTAGTTGATAAAATAATCTTATTTCCTAAAACAATTCTTTGTGGAAATAAATGTCCATATTCACCAAATATGTCTTGTAAAGCGTCAAATGGTTTCATACTATTAATTGCTTGTTGTATTTCATTTTTAAATTCTTCCGAAGGTTCAATAATATCTATATTTAATAAAACTTCATATCGTTCGTATTTAATCGTTAAAGGTATACCATTAAGCCTATCATCTAAATCGTTACTTCTGACAAATGGATTGATTTTATTTATCATTGTTGACTTATTTACTTCTAAATAAAAATCATTGCTTGGATTTAATTCCGGTAATCTAATAAAATTAACGACAAATTTTTCGCTTACTTTCATTTCGTTATATCTATTTATTATTAGACCTTGAAGTAAGTGAAAATTTTTAACAAATTTTGTTAAAATAACACATGAATCTTCTTCAGTTTCTTCGTTTGCAATCCACTCTTCTAAATTTAACTTCTCTTTAAAATTAGAAATACCAGGTTGACTCACTTTAAAAGTTTCGAAGTCATCAGATGGTAATTTACCGACCCTTAATTGAGAAATAGAAATAAGATCATCGTAATGAATTATCTTAAGAATATTCTCTTGATACAACTTATTCATCCAATTGGTTAATTCTTTAGGGGATTTTATCCTTTCTCCTTTTTTTGTCTCAATGCGTGGTGCGAATTGTAAAGTTGATAAATTATTGAATGGATTCCCAATATTATAAAGAGCCGAATTATATGCCATGATTAAATGAAATTTTAAAAGTTTAATCTCTTCAGGAGTAACTAAATTAAACCCTTTAATGAATAATTGTTCACCGGCTAGAAATTTTTTGGCGAGAAAATGGCCATATATATCATGTAATTTTTCTTTATTATCACTAAAAAAAGACTCCACCGGTTCGGCATTGTAAGTAATTTCAACGACAGGAAAATTGATACAAATATCTAACGGTTTTGTGTTAATATCGTCATAATCTTCCTTAGAATTAATACACGTATATACCATAGGTTTTCCATCATATATATCTATATCCAATTCATTATCATCGGAAATAACAACTTTTTTGCTAAAGTGTATATTATTATTTTCGTCAAAGGATAAACCATAATTCAACTTCCATTGTTGAATTATTTTTTGTGTATCTTTTAATGATTCTTCTTCCGAAATATTGTTCAAATCTTTTTCCAAAATACTTTCATCATCATCTTCGCTATCTTCTTCGCTTCCACTTTCCTCATAAGAATTATCCTCAGAAATTGGAATAGTAGTAGGCGGGTTAATAATAAATTTCGCTACTATAACGTTCGTATTTATATCAAGATCTTCATCTGTCCCACAAAGACAAATCTTAATATGAAGTTCATTAGTAATAGTTATTAATTGACTAGAGTAAGTGGGACGTGAATCACGTGAAATAAAAAAATGTATCGTATGATTGCATTCTCCTATTTCATATTCAATTTCATGTCTTGGAACGTCAGGAAAACTTGTCTTTTTTTCAATACGATAATTTCTATTCGGATTAAATCGAAAATCCACATAAGTCATCAAATAACTTTCAATACGTTCAACACTTATATTAGTTTTTAAGTATTTAATTTTCATGGGTATATAAACGTAGGTCCCTAAATTAAATTTTTTGTTGTGTGGTAATTCAAATGTGTATTCCAAGAGATTTTGGAATTTACCTTGTAATTTATGAGGATAAAAAGAGGAACTATCCTTATAACTCATGGCTATAGTTTTTTTAAATGGAAATTCGATTTCGACAACTGGTCTAAACAATTGCCATCTTTCATTTAAATTTACCGTAGCAGTTAATTTATATTCTACCGACCCATTTGCTGTATCCGATTCATTGTTTATATTAATAGTTTCGGGAAGGTTATGTGATAGCAACCTTTCTTTAAAGGGTATAATATTAAGATGTTGAACAGTTGAAAATGTAGCTTCTTTTGGCCAAATTTCGTAATGTTTATCAATAATAATATGTTTTTTAGTATTGAATATCGGTCGACAGATCCTTTCAACGCCTTTTAAGTGTAAAATAACATTTCTTACTTGATCTGTATTATAGTTAAGATGTAAATTGCCAATTATATAACCTTCTTCATAATAGGAATTACAATTTGGTGCGTGTGAAAATGTTAATCCTGCCATTTTATTTTGGCCGAGAATTATAATTGATGTGCCGTACTTAATGTTTATATATATTTATATATATTACAAATTATTGATAATTATGATGATCAGGATGATCAAGATGATCAGGGGGGATTTGTGCGATTAAAACAAATACTTGATCACAAGAAAGAAAAAAAAGGAAATTATATAATGAAGAATGTTTTTAATTGACGTGTGTGATAAATAGATATGAAGATATCATTCATTTCATACGTAATTCCGTCATTTTTTTCGTGGGAAAGTAATACAACCAAGTTAAAGTTTGTGTTGAATGAAACTTCTTTAATTCCACTTCCCGAAGATTTAATAGTAAATGTGTGACTAAACTATTTAAGGGTTCTGAAAATGGATATAATTTAAATTCCAAAAATCCATCGTCCCTTTTTTTTTTTTTTTTTTTAAAAAAAAAAAATTAACTAAATTATCATTGCAAACTTGAAATTCACTATGAAAAAACTCATTTTCAGAAATAAAATTGCCGTAACTATACAAAAATGTGAACCAGATAAAAGGGCAATGGTTCGCCTAAACCCCATGGAAAAATTATCAAATATTCGAGCAAAACTTAAAAAACATAGTATCGTCATGATGGATATCACTTACTCTTTTGCTCGGAAAACACCCGAAATTAATAATAATAGTGCTAACAATGAGATTAGCTATTGGTTCGCCGAAATAGCACGAGAAGATGAAGAAGAACTTACTTTAAGAGAGATCTTAGAAAAAATTAATGATGATAATATTTTATACTTAGTGAAAAATTCAAGCCCCGATTGGAAATTTTTGAATAAACGTCGTAAACTAAGTTATGGATGTAAAATGACTTTTGACGGTATTAAGAAAGCAAATAAAAGAGCTTTTAAAATGAAATGTTGTGATTTGACTGTAATCGGCGCTGAAGGATTTAAAAAAGGGGTTATTAAATCTAAGACGGAAGAAGATTGGATGATGAAAAAGAATTTATTTTTTAGTGCTGATGTTAACGTACAAAATTTTATAAAATTAGGAGTTTCATCCGAAAGTCTGAGACAAAATTTTATTAATAATGAAACCAATTTATCTTATCGTTATATGGAATATGGTAAAATATCTTTAAATTTTGGTAAATATTTAAAACCATCTTCAGAATTTAATAAAGCAGTAGAAGAAGCCATAGAATCCCAAGACCCTAAAAAATTTAAGATCATCATTGAAGAATTTGGTCAATTCGTTCCAACTGAGGTAATTTTGGGTGGAAGAATGTATTTCGAAAGTGTGGATCTATCAACAGAACAAACACAAATAAATTCTAAGGATAATACTATAAAAGTAGGCGCTGGAGGTTTTATGGGCACCAAATTTGGACGAAATTCCAATCACAAAAAAGGAAATTCAAGTTATTGTAATTTTAGCTTTGTAAGCTTAATTGGAGGAGAGCAACCTGACGGTTCTGAAGATTTTGATAAATCTTGGGTTCAATCTTTAAAAGATTATAGAAATTGGGATTGTATAGAATATCGAAATCCCGTTAGTATTTTCAGTTTATTATCTGAAACTTTACGTAGAAGAATCTTAACATCTATTGGAAAAAGAGTTCTTTATTCACACTTTGAGGATCGTAATTATCGGTTAATAGAACGTGGAGGAAGAGTTTTTGAATTAAATATACCTTCAAATATAATGAATATTATTCATAATAAGGATTCTGATTGTAACTTTTTTGCAACGGTTGTCGACCAAGAAAATACAAATGATCTTTTTAATTGTCAGATACTTTGTCCATCAAATGGAAAACCAAGCGTTATAGTTCATTGTATTCAAAAAGAGTTTAAAAGATGTAAATGTCATTTGAAAATCGGTCTGATGGTTATCGGTTATGATACGAATTATAATTTTATGATTTCGGATAATGATTCTAACGTTCAAATCGATGTTCTGAAAAAGAACTTTGATGCTTCTTCATCATTGCAAACTATGTTCAATGGAGATTCATTAGAAAATAATATTCCTTGTTTAGGAATTCCCGTATTAGATAAATTAGATTCTTCAAATAATTCGCTCATTATTGGACATTATTTTTTTGGCGATGCTCAAGCAGCAAATGTAACTGGATATTGCACGTTCTCTTATTGTTTAAGAAAAGAACGCTATGTAAATTTGCCAAATTTTAATTTTTATACTCTTACTACCTCGAAAACTTCATATTCCGATGCTTTTGGAAAAACACTCATAGATCGACCATTTGCTAATGATTCGTTGAAGTTTATTAGTTTGAATTTGTATTCTGCTAAAAAATTATGGAAAATCGGTAAAAGTAATAATGTTTTTTTTTTAAAACAGGACCAAAAGCAAATTACAATTTGTAATATTGAATGTAAATGTAAGAAAACTTTAAATAAAACTTGTGATATCTGTAGAGAAATCTCTAATTTTCAAAGAAATGTTAAAAGTATTGAATGTGCATTCTTCGATTCAGAAGTAAGTATATCTAATTATTTGCTATTATTAATATTGTTAAAATTACTAACTAAAACCTTCTATATTTAAGGTACTTGAGAATGATAAAAATAAAATTGAATCGTTCGTATGAAAAATTCTTCGAATTAGGTTTAACGCGATTTATCGCCTATTATATGGTGAATTTTTATGTAATATCAGATGTACAATTTTTATATTTCTACTGTAAATAAATTTTATTTTTGTTAATAAACATGTGAAGGCTGTAAAACACTATAAGGCTTACGTACAGTATTTCATAATATTCTAAATTTGACAAATATTTACCAAATATTTGATATTTGCTACATGGTAAGTTGTACTGTAAAGAATTTAAAACTTTTTTCCTTGCGACAAGATTCAAAATTGAATTTCTTTGATTGCTGTGCGATAACGTGCATACAAATGGTATCTCTATCGAAATTTCCTGTTTTGTACAAGATAAGGAAAGTAGGTTTTTGCTCGTTATACAAAACAGGTTCGTGTAATCGTGTAATCGTGTCAGCTGTTATGGCATTTGATCAACTTTTATGTTCATGATTTACCAAAATTTTCTTTTTATTTTTTTTCCTAAAATAATGAAGGAAAGAAACACAATGTTGAATTTAGTGTGTAGCCTCTTAATAGCCTGTCTCAATAAAAAATAGGAAATGGTAACGCGGAAGACCTGAAAATTATATTATATTTCTTAATATACGCGGATGTTATATAAAAATTTTGAATAAAAGGCAAGTATTTATTCTTTATACACTCAACGAATATATATACGATGAATAGTAAGATTCTCACATAGAATGTTTGTATTACGTTAGAAGCTTGCGTCCGCTAATCGAGTAATCGTTGAAGGTTATGGAATTCGTAATTTTAGTTACCATTCGTCTTTGTGTAGAGGTTTGTACTTTATTGAATATAGTGATGATTGACAATCGATGATATTAAATTTTTTTTTTTTTTTTATAAGAGGAACTTTAAGCGTTGAAGTATCAATTACCAAATATACCGCTCACCCATGATGTTAAACAAATGGTTCGTCTATATTTGTGGATAAATGTGAATAAAAGATGACAAAGACTACCTTGAGGAAAAATTTATTACCATAGTAGTATCGGTAAGTTTATGAGTCAATTTTCATTATGCAAACTTTCGTATTGAAATACTGTATGATACTTTATTAACTACAACCCTTCAAATATTCATTCGACCATCAGTCCAATGCGCCTGTGATTTCCACATGGCACGTGCGAAGGTATAGATATTTAGATGTCAAACCTCCACTGGGCCAAAATTCGGGAATGACAAGCTTAATTTTCTATCTTGGTCAAAAAATTATCGTATTTTTAGGATTAATGAGAAAATACCATAATTTTCAGCACCGTATTTAAGACCTTTCTTTGAGAACTTGATTTGCAAAACACGACATACTCACGACAGATCTCCGTTTCTCGAGATTTCTACTGATTTTTCTAAAACTTCACAATCAGATATTACTATTTTGAAGATGCTGGAAATGTGGTAGAAGGGGCATCATTGGGAGTTTAATCATGAAGACTATGAGGAGCCTAAACTTCTCGAAGGATTGAATAGGCATTAAAATTAAATCACTATTACCCTTCCGACCTTACTCTATATTGTTTACTACTCAGTCTTTGGTATCATGGTTTTTGGAATTAAGGAACAAAAGATAATCATCATTCAAACGAGATTAGGGGTATTTATTCAATTTTTTTTTTTTATCAATTCAACCGATTAGAGATTCTAACGTAAATCTGTCAACAGGGTTTGGAGTTTTGCTTGGGAATTTAATGGCTTAGGTAATATATTACCTGAAAAATGATTTTAGATTTACATTTTTACCGTAAATCTTTTAAAAATTAGAAGATGGTTCACGATGTTTACAACGACTTAAATGATATCTCCTTAAGAGCAGAAATACCAACATATGATTATACATTGAGTTGATTATTTACATAACCTGAACTTTATTCGACTTGATTATGTTTAATTCGGATAACTCGAATTTACGTAATGGCGCTATTGTAATTTTACTTGTATCTTTGATTAATTTAATGCGTTTTCCTTAGTTGAACGTTCTTTTAGAAGCGATCAATGGTAGGTCCTAATCGAGTCCATATTTATTTGCAACAATACCATAATACTTTCTTTAACATTTATTCTTAAATCATTTTTAGGTTCATCATCATCATCTTTTTCGTAATCAGGGTTATCGCAAAACTTATCTCTTTCTTATTCTTAAATGAGGGTTCTTTAAATGGGGTCAAATCTTAGTCAAATAACAAGGAATTTGCGAAACAAATTTTAAAATGGAATCTCGTTTGAGTTGCTTCAATAAGCGAGAAACCATAAATGTAATCACGATCAAATCTTAATTAGCAGTTGCCAGTTGGTGAAATGGATAATTTAAAAGTATTATCAATTTATATTTATGTAGTAAAATTAAATTTTTATGAAATAAAAGTATTTATATTTTAAGTTGTGCGTACAAAATTAATATAATTTTGTCATGTTAAAAAACAAAAATATTGACTTTAATCAAAAGATCAAAAGTTCGTCACGTTAAATAAATCAGACAATGATATTTGATCATCATTTCAATATGATCGAAATATACTAACTTAAAATATTGTAAATTAAAACCTTTTCAATCTATTCAATTTTTCTTTTCTTCGACTGAAGTGTGCGGTAGTCATTAATTATTCGTGCAATCCAATTTTAATGAATGATTTTGGAACTATATCACTCGATTCACTACTAATCCAGGTTGTTGACCTATATAAGGATGGGGAAGACTTGGTTCGGTTCAGTCCCGAACCGATACTATTGAAAAAACCGTGTTGGGCAGAGTAAAAAAACCGGTTCGGTTCATAATCGGTTTTTGTCACTTCGGTCCGGATCCGAGTCAGCACATATCAAAATTTTTGGAACTTCTACATTTAAAGCAAAAAGTCCTAATGCGATTTTAATCAACAGCATATACTTTAAACCCGAATTCCATTCAAGATCCTAATGATAATGAAGCGAAAAACACAAAATCACATTGTATTTATATAATATATTATCACCATAAAAAAAGTTTGAATATGACTCTTAATATGCTTTACATACAGTACTGGTCATAAGTATCCGACCATTCATCATTAAAAAAGTTTTTAATAAACAAAACCAAAAAAAAAAATTTTTTTTTTTATTATGTAAGTACAAGGTGAACCCTGATCATTAATACATAGTATAATCCTCCCTCCGCCTCTATTAATGCCGCAACCCTCTTGTAAGATCCACTCTATGTTTTCTGCCCCAAAAAACTCACTGGCGGAAGTTACTAAGAGACCCCTTTTCATAGATACTACACATAAAAAGTGAATCCAAGTTTCGCTCAAAGCAAATCTAGAATTAAAAAATAACCCCATATATGAACTTTTTGTGGATGCTTGACCGTATGGAAAATTTTACGTCGCGAGGGAATTGCCAAACCTTTCTATTTGACTGGAATAATTGAAAAGTACTTTCATCAGTAAAAATAATCTTTTTTCCAGTCGAATTTTTGATGCTTTTTCCCATTTTAACCGGTTTGTTCTGTGTTTCTCAAAAAGCAAAGATTTTGAAATTTCTTTCACAAATTTATCCCCAGACTTACCAAGACGTCGCCTAATTGTCCTTGAACTAACTTCTACACCTTTTTTTTCAAGTTTGTTTTTTATTTCAGTACTGGTAATGTTGTGTTTTTCTGTTGCTATCTTTACTATTCGTTTATCTTGTGCCTTAGTCGTTTTGCGAGGTCGACCTGACTTTTTTTCATCGGTTAAATCCTTATTTTCACGGTATTTTTGAATCCAATAAATGACTGTAGACTTACTACAGTGCACATAAGAAGCTATTTTAGCATATCCCCATTTCGGACCTTCTGGATGTTCGTGTAAAAAAACCATTTCATATCTTTTATTAAGAGAAAGAGACATTTTTGTGGCATAAAATTCACCGATCATCTAACTCCTGATTTATATGTGAACCTATGATTTTGCAGATGCTCAAGATTATCATGACTTCGGAAAATTTCGCGTGAAAATTTATACTAAGAAAAAAAATCGATAATTTAACGACATGAACTTGTAACCGATTTTTGCTCATTACTTTACCACAACTTATATAAGTCCCGCTTTGATTCAGAAAAATAAAAAAAATTTTTTTCTTATTAACAAACAAATGATAATTTTTCCAAAAGATATGAGATTTAAAAAGCATTAAAATTTTAAATTAAAATAAATTATTATTATCTCTTTATTTGGAATAGTGAAAAATATGGAAGATCTTTGAACCAAGTATTGAAATATAATATAATAATAATATTTATATTGTTGTATAGTTATTAGTGATAATTACGTAATTACGCCCTGGAATTTTAATGGTACAATCAAAATCAAATTCAGTAAATTTATAATAGTAAACAATATACTACGTAATAATATCTACAGAATTTTCTTCATATTATGCATTGGATGCTTATATTGTTGATTAAGCAGAGTACTGCGGATCTATGAAAGTGAATTAAGTGAATTATAATTTTAGAATGAAACGCGTTTCACGTGATATTCAAATCAAAAAAAGTCAAATGGAAATATATGATCTCACAAATAAATCTGAGTGAGCGTTTCATAAAAAAAAAAAAGTTACAATGGGATTACGGATAGTAAAAAAACGATGACCTAGAACAATAATGGTATTCCCTAATTTAAATGGTCATTAAACCTGAATAGATTGATTTGATTAAGTGTAACAATAAATTCCGTGAGAATAAATCAACTCCTAAATAAGATTAATTTATGATAAAAAAACGTCATTTTCACGAACCAAATTGGTGCTCAATAAATACCTGAAACTTTTTTTTTAAAAAAAATTTTATCTTTAATTGATAATTATATTTAAATTTATTTTTCCCTTTTTTATTCTTTGGATAAATAAAATTTTTTGAATTTCGTATTGGAACGCCATGACTTTAGATAAATATAATAAAAACATCACGAATAATTTTAAAAAATCCAAGAGAATTCAAGATCCTATTCATGTAATATATAATTTTATTTTTCCAATTTCAAATTCTGAAATAACTTGAAAATTAATTTTGTAAATAGGGATTGATGGAATTTGAAAATTGGATAATTAAATTTATTGATACCGAACATTTTCAAAGATTACGTAATATCAAACAACTAGGAACCACTTATTATGTTTATCCTGGTGCTAGCCACAATAGATTCGAGCATTGTTTGGGTAACGAATTTGGATCGTACATAATTCTAATAAAAATTGTAAGATTATCTAATCTATAATGTTTATTAGGCGTCGCACATCTTTCTCGCTCGTTGGTGAAAAGGATCCAGGAGACGCAGCCTGAACTGGAGCATGATGAAAATGGTTTAAAATGTGTGACACTAGCCGCATTATGTCATGATCTTGGTATATAAAATTTCTACTTAAAATTTTCTTGATCAAAAATTCCTAAATTTTCTACTATTATTAAAACTTATAGGACATGGGCCGTTTAGTCATCTTTTTGAAAGTGAATTTATATCACAAAAAAGGTTTAGTGTATATATATGTAGTGTTTTTAAAGTCATAAATTATTTTATAATTTACTTATTGACGCATATAATTTTCTTATTATTTAAAAGGCCTGAAGAAAATTGGACTCATGAAAAAGGTTCCAAAATGATGTTTGAACACCTTTTAAACAATCACGCTGATTTAATAAGCGATTTAGATACGGAAGACATTACATTTGTTGAAAATTTAATCGCCGGGGATCGGTAAATTTATTATTAGTATGTAATAAAAAAAAACATTTAATAAATTTATTATTTTTAATGATATTCACTCCATATTTAGTACGCATCGATCTCCATATCTATTTGATATAGTGGCTAATAAACGTAATTCAATCGATGTCGATAAATTTGATTATTTGGCACGCGACTGTCACTATCTTGGAATGAGATCCGATTTCGATTTCTCAAGACTAATGAAATTTTCGCGCGTTATTGATGATCAAATTACATACTATTTCAAGGAAAGCTATAATATTTACGAATTGTTTCATACACGGTATTCTTTGCATAAGAAAGCTTATAATCATTGTGTTTGTAAGTAGAATTCAATTAATTTGATTTCGAAGCTAATGTAATGTCTACTCATGTACGAATTAAATTAGGTAAAGCAATAGATTATATGATACGTGATGCTTTTTTAGAAGCGGATTCAACTCTCAAAATATCTGACAGTATCTTTGATGCAAATGAATATTTGAAGATGGATGATACAATCTTAAATAAAATCGAATATTCGGACGATCCGGTAAGTTACATTATATTACTTATTATATTATTTATTATATATAAAGTATATTTAATGACTGTCGTAAATTTATTTTAGAGTTTGAAAAAATCAAAAGATATTATTAAACGCATTCGAAAAAGAGACCTTTATAAATTTGTTGATGGGTTCTTAGTTCCTAATGATCTGAAAGATAAACTGACCGAGGTAAAAAAAAAAATTATCATCAATATATTAAATAATAAGTTCTAATTTAATAAATTTTCTTTATTTATAGAAAGAAATAAACGAAGAAAAAATTATTGCTTATCAGAATAATGATGGACTTAAAGTAGATGATATAATCGTAAATCGACTTGTATTAAATTATGGCATGAAAAATGAAAATCCAGTGGATCATGTTAAGTTTTATAATAAAAATTTACCGAATAAAGGTTAATATACGCATATTGTTTTATGTTTATTTATTTATTACGTTGTTCCATATTTATTCTTTATATTTTTATAGTTTTCAAATTAGAGAAATCACAAGTGAGTTACCTCGTTCCAGAACAATTTGAAGAACTCAATATTCGAATTTTTACTAAAGATCATAAAAAAGTAAATTTATTCAAGTTTATGATATATTGATGTATATTTCGATTTTTAGATTATTCACCCCTCACATGTATTTTATTTCTTAGATTGACCCAATTAGGAACTGTTTTAAAGAATTATTGAAAGAATATATTCCAAAACCGAAAACTTATTACAATATGAACTAAAAGTCATGATGAGATGAATATAATGTTGTTCTAAAAATAACTTGAATGAAAATAATCAAGTCTTTAGGATATAACATAAAAAAACCTATATATACAAATATTTTACCTTTCAAATTTTGGGGAAAAACATTGTTTGTAGTCATTAACGATTATAGTAACTCGCGAAAATTTTATGATTTATGTACAGTAAAGTATACAATATTATCTTTCATATTTTTAAAAATAAAAAATGGTTTACGTCGAAATTTATTATTAAATCACGCAGTATATTAAAAAAGAAAAGACTTGCTGACCACACATCGCCTAGTAGAATCTTTTTCTTGTAACACGAGACAATGTCAGACAATACTGTATAAATGAATATAAATTTGTTTTTCAAAGGGTGCCGCCACACAAAACGATAAAAGACGGCATTGAGTTTTTAATGAAATAATGAAATAAAACTTCATGTAAAAATTGTAAAAAAAAGAACTAGAGTTTTTAAACGACAAAAACAAGAACAAATCACAGTCGAAGTTCAAGAAACTCTTATAACTCATAAAGAAAATGTCATATTACTTGAGCACAAGAAATTTTTAACTTTTTTCTAATTATTCGTCATTATTATTATTGATTTTATTATTATTAAGTAGAGATAACATTTTTCATCATAATATTATTTAATGTAATAGGTTCGAAGAAAGAGACTTATCCCTTACTTTCAAAATCTGACATTACGACTTGACAAGAACTTGGATACAAGCAAAATTCAAATGAAATTCCTACTAATCTAAATAATTCATTACCAGTATATTATAATTTGGAAGATAAAGTTGATGAAGATAATAGAAGTATTGACAAAGATAGAAATGTCGATGAAAATAGAAACATTGATAATGATTGTAAAGAGTGTTGCGAAACTAAGAAAATCAAGTTCAAGACAATATTAGACGAAATAAGAGATTTATTTTCAACCGGTTAAACTAAAACTAATATAATAAATAATTTTCTTTATTTTAGACTTATTATTATTTAGACAATCCTGCTAATTTGTCTCAAAAAAAAAAAAAAAATGGTTAGAATGTATTTCTAATCTTATCTCTCCATGATCTTGGCGGCGTTCATATTCTTCTATTTGACTGATTATTTTCTCAATAAAATTAGCCGCAACATTTTCTGATCGAGAATAATAAAAATGTGTACAAAGTTTTTAAATATATTCTTTAATAAATAAAATAATAAAAAATTATATTTATAAATTATTATAATACAATAAGAAACACTTTCGTAACGATAATTTAGTATTGTAGAGCTTGTGCCCGTCATAAATACGTTTGCCACCATAAGCTACAAAATAATCCTTTATTAAATTCGATAAAAATTATAACAATTCCCGAGTTCCATGATAAAATAAAATAATTAATAAAATGAAAAAATTTAAGAAAGAAAATAAATGCTAAACTTAAACCATGCCAAATTTTAAAGTCATGTTTAAAAATAAAGAACTAATAAGTTTTCTAAAATTATCACTTTCAAAGAAGAACCAATCAAAGTAGTAATTCCTAAAATAATATATCGAACCAATCCTTCTATGAAGTATAGAATAATATATGATCAAACTACTCAATTACTTTTAATGACCCCAATAAAATAAAATCACCTCTAGTTTAACGTTCTGATTGCTGAAGAACTATACAATTTTTTTAAACAAGTAGATTGTCAGTTTTATTAATTTTTTAAAAATGTGGAATATAAATAAAATTCAAACTACTCCTGCCGGATTATGTTTTCGATATTTTCTCGCTAATTCTGGATACAAATTCACAATTTGTTACCCCAATAAATTCCGCAAAATAATCGTGGGTAATTGTGATATTACAATCAAAATATAATTTTGGGAAAAATATGAACTCAGTGAAAAATTTATAAAAGACAAAATTTACAAAGGAATAAGAAAATACGTAATCGGAATGTTTAATCCAATAATATCAAAAAAGAGTAATATTGGATATGGAACTACGTAGGAACTCAGAATTTATAAAAGAGTGAATTTCAGAATTAGAATAAGGGTAGTATTTTAATAGCTTATGAGGAAATAATCGATAATATTTAGTAAGTGAAAAATAATAATATTTTAAATAATGAATTTGTCGTTTTTGATATTATTTTGTTAATGAAATGAAATACGAGAATAAGTAGGGAGAATTATCGCAGTTTGAAAGTTATAATTTTGAAATTGAAAAATTTATTAATGAAATTACGAAGTTATAATAAGAGTATTATTGTTTAGTAAGGGAAAACTATCGAAGTGCAGAATTGTAAATCAAGAAAGTATATTGAAACATAAATTTTAGGACGAAGAAATTATTTTTGTTATTTTATTTCTATTTAAATAATATTATTATTAGTATATTTTATATTTAGGAACCAAGCATAGAACTCGGGATAATTTTAGTTAATTACTAGCAGTTACCCGTTGCTCCACACCGGGACTAATGAGTTTGTTTAAATAGAAAATTTTAGTATTATAATGTAATACTAAGTAAATTAAAGATGGTTACAGCAGTTTTTTGTTTATAATTAGAATTTAATATAGGTAATAATTAGTTAACAAAATAATATGTACTAAAATTATAATTATAATATTAGAATGATATAAATTATATTGGGAATTGGTAAACATCGCCTGGGTCTTCGATCATGCGTCAGATTTGTCATATTTATTTGTTTATAGAATCTATAGGTTCAAGGTTCGTTTTCTCAGTTATTTCGGTCTCGAGGTATTTTTCTTTTTTTCTTTTTATTTTTATTTCTAACTTACATCCTTACACTTTGTTTCTTACTAACTCTATTTCATTATTCTTAGGTCTTTTAGTCCTTCCGGTTCTACAATTAATAAAGGTATGTTTTTTATTTTTTATTTGTTTTTTTTATTTTGTTTCTATCTTATATTTCGTTTCTTACTAACTTCATTTTTTTTACTTTATGGTTTATTTTTACTTGGTTTCCTATCATTATATTTTGCTACCCAACCTCCTATCATGATCATTTTTTGATTTTTTATCTCTCATCATTTTTCACCTCCTATTACTTCTTATTATTCCATCCTTTTCGTATCTCATTATTTTCTATTACATCTTTTCATTTTCCATTATTTCTTTTTCTCTCTTATTTACTTCCCATCATTTCTTTTTATTTCTCATCACTTCTTTTCGTCTCCCATCACTCCTCTTCATCTTCCTATTACTCCTCTTCATCTTCCCATCACTCTTCTTCGTCTCCCATCACTCCTCTTCATCTTCCTATTACTCCTATTCGTCTCCCATCACTCCTTTTCATCTTCCCATCACTTCTTTTTGTCTCCCATCACTCCTTTTCGTCCCCCATCACTCCTTTTCACCTTCTCATTACTCCTCTTCATCTTCTCATCACTCCTTTTCGTCTCCCATCACTCCTCTTCATCTTCCTATTACTCCTCCATCATGTCCTATTTCTCCTTTTTGCTTCCTAACACTTCTCATTACTCTTTTTTACTCCCTTTCATCTTCTATTACTTCTCATTACTCCATTGTTATTTCATTTTTTATTAGCATCTTTCTCCTTGATCATTGTAATTTACTTATCTTTTTTATTTATTGTTATTGTTTTTTTATTTGTATCACTTCATTAAAAATAAATACAGTGATTTTTTTCTTTAAAATCGTAAATGTGTGATTTAAAATTTAATATTTACAAATAAAATTTTATTAGATAAGATTATTTTGGATAAATATGCTTGCAAAAAAATTTTTTTTAAAAAAATAGATGTTTGCGATAAAATTTTTAAGTTTAGCCGATCAAAAATATATTGTACATCATGTGACATATTTAAAAAAAAATCCAGGCGACAATCGCCCAGGTAACGTTTAGCAATTCCCAATTATATTTACAATAATGTAGTTATTTATATTAAAGATTTGACGTTTAAGTGTAGAATGAAATTCGTATTAATTAAGGAATTGTGAAAAAATAATTATCAATAAAAATCGATTAACTTTTTAGAAGTATTTTCGAAAAAACTTTATTATAACGTTTATCAAATAATTGTTATAATCGAAAAAGTCAAAAAGTATTATAAAAAAAATCAAATAACAAAAAAAAGTCATAACGGGAAAAAATATTTATAAAAAAAATTACGTAAAAAAAATGGGTTTAGTCTATAAAAAACTAATAATCAACAAATGATCTAACAAATGATCTAATTTCGGTAACAATATTGATGATCTGCAATTCGGAATTCATACCTTGAACTTACCGATATTAACCTAAATAATCTAGAAAATAAAGAACAAAAAAAAACTTACGCTAACATGGAATAGATTAGGCGCAAGCAGAAAATATATTACACAATTCAAAACTATTTATACATGCTAGTCTAAACGTTACGATTTTTCATGTATTTTTTTAGTTAATATATAGATATAGATATAGATTTTTATGAATAAATAAAGCAATGTTCAATGACGTGGTGGCAAATGCGGGTCATTTCGGGATATTCCGGACCGCAGTAAATAAAATTACTTAGAAAATTTTATACACTTAAACTAAATATAATACTGCGCCCCACAATTAATAGATTCACTAGGTATAACTGCGCCATTTTTAATAATTTCTAATTTAAGATTGTCCTGTTGTGGAATACGGAACGCGCTTTGAAAAGTCGGAATAATCAGTCGCTTTTTTTCCATTAAAAATGGCAAAAAAGGAAAATTGAAAGACAAAGTATGTCGTACACGGTAAATCTATTTTGTGACTAAAATAGTTAGCTTTCTGTCTTTATGCTATTATAACTTACCTCCTGTTATTGTTTACGGTACAGACCGAATTCCAAAATTAATTAAAAAAAGAAAAGCTACCTTGTTATAAAAATTGCCTAGTATTTAATAATATCGGAAGAAAGTATTTTTATTTACCTTTTTTAAATATAGCCGAAAGTATTGAAAAATCAAATGAATGCTGTCATTGTTTTGTTAAACATCAAAAAAACTTACCTGTTTATTTTCCCCTTGTTATGATGTCTATTGTTTACGGTTCACCCCGAGCTTATCATTTATTGCTTGTTATATAAAAAATGCCTAGTATTTAATATTTGAACCTTTTTGAAATATGGCTGAATCCTGTCATAATAGATCTTATTATGAAACAGCCATACGTAACGAAGAATTTGGCCCTTGTAATAAATGTAGAAAGCCAAAAACTGACGATGATTGGTGTCAAAGTTGTTGTTCGGATCGATTTGAACTAGATAGTAAGTTTAATAATAAGTGGACAAGTGGGAATGATAGTATAGATGGATTTGTTAGACGAGCTCAATCAAAAGCGCGAAATCATTGGGAAGTTATAGAATGGATTCCATATAAGAGATTAATAAATGTAAAATATCTCACAAAAGGTGGTTTTAGTACTATTAACAAGGCTATTTGGTTAGATGGATATATAATTTGTTGGAATGATATCAAAAATGTTTGGAATAGAAATCGTTATAAACTTGAAGAAGAAGATTATTTAGATTATAGAACTCTAAAGGAAGATGAAAAGTTCGGATTTCATGTTGTTCTTAAGAGCTTAAATAATATTAACGAGGATTTTTTAAATGAGGTAGGTAATTTAGTTTTTATAAAAAAAAAATAGAGCTTAAACTTGAGTCAAAACAAACATAGTACTGACTGGAATAACAAAATGTCCGGTCAGTACTGTTCTTCGAAATTCGAATAAAAAATTTCGCTCGAGTGCAAATCAACTTGAGTTCGAGTACATAAAAAGGGACGTCTAAAGCGGAGTTAAATCGCATGATCATAGTAAAGAATATTTGTCACTTTTCATGCTCTCCACTTTAGATAATCCTATAAAAAAGTTCATACTAACATTCTAATTTAACATTAATATTTAGTGGGAAAATTATTTAGAATTTTTATATTCAGCTATAAATAACTATGCAAATTTTGTGAGAGTATTTGGGATAACTCAAGATCCAAAAACAAAAGTTTATATGGTCGTATTAGAAGAAATGAAGAGAGGGAGTTTAAGAGATAATTTATTAATAAAAAAATATAATCCAAATGATAAATATCATAATTTATACGAAATAGCATGTTCACTTTCAGCTTTATCCAAGACTAGTATGACTCATGGAGATTTACATAACGGAAACTTGCTCTTAAAAGATGAATTCCATATATATATAAGTGATTTTGGACAGAGTAGACAATTTAATCAATCAATTAATTCCAAGGATATTTATGGAGTAATTCCTTATATGGCACCAGAAGTATTACGTGGAAAACCATATACTAAAGCTTCAGATATTTATAGCTTCGGTGTTATTATGTGGGAGTTTACATCAGGAGTTCCAGCATTTCACGATATTCCTCATGATTTTAATCTTTCTTTACAAATATGTAAAGGACATAGACCAGAAATTATAGAAGGCACAGAACCTGATTATGTAGAATTAATGAAAAGATGTTGGGATAATGATCCTAATAAAAGACCAACTGCGAAAGAATTATCAGAAATATTTGATGTATGGTCGGCAAAATATCTTATGGAAATGGATTATGATAAGAGAAAATCAGTACCGGGTAAGAAAGTTATTATTATTATTTTTTTTTTAAATTAAAGTTAATATTATATTATTTTTTGATAATGAAAAAAATTTTTTTTTATCATTATAGTACCTACTATTATAGAGAATCATCCATTATCCTGTTATATAAGCAGAAAAATCGATCATTATGCAAAATTAAATGAAATTTTAGATCAAGGAGAATTAAGTTCAATAATTGTGATTGATGAAGGAAAAGATGATGAAGGAAAATATAATATTGAATCTGAATTAGGTAAATGTTGTTCATATATCGATTTTTTTTTTCCTATTAAATAATTATTTATTATTTATATATACATTTTTTTCATTTTAGAAGAATTAAAGATTTAATGTTCATTGAAGTTTTTTCAGCACAAGATACTAAAAGTAGTAGGTAGATAATTGATGCGATATCAGCATGACTTGTATATTACTTGAAACTACTAATAAATAATAAAATCAATTGCGATCACGCATTTTTTTTAATTCTTTATAAAAGAATAATGTCCGTAAAATTTCAAAAATGTCTGAAGATATCTGGAAAATGACCGGAAAAAATGATCAAAACTGCCGTCCGGAGTTTTTCGTAACTGAAAATTTCTAAATTCTGAATATTCTGAATACACTTTCTTAGAATATATGTTGACTTATTTTGAATTATTCTTTACTACAAATTCATAACCCAATCACATATCTATAATTCAGTAAAAGCAAAGTCAAAGTTAAAACTATCATTATTAATCGGAGGTAAGTTCTGTTATTAATACTTAAAATAGATAAATTTTATGCATGCGTATACTGCGGTCAATAAAGAAATTGCTGCGGTCAATAGCCAATAGGAATACATTCCCGCCGAACAAATGAACAATGGCTACGTTCAATAATAACACAATTTCATTCATGAATAACAAATATTTTGAGAAAATAATTGTTCAACGTTCATCTTATTTATCTGTGCTTGTTGCTACCATCCTATTGTTATTGTTGTCCATTTGAATACTCAGAATTATTGGATGGCTATATCGTTAGAAAATCCTTTTGGGAAATTTGAATAGTTTCAAAAGTCCGGTATTAATAAAAGAATGTTCTATCTTAAGTCGAAGAATAAAGTATAAGGCTATTTGATTGGATATATACTATATGACGTTATTGGAATAAATGGAAACGATACTATTATAAACTTGAAAAAAAGAAGATTATGCAAAAAAAAAAGATATTAAATACCTTTTAAGGAAAGTAAAGAATGCGAACTCATGAGAGAGAATTTCAAATATTACCGAATTAGATAAGTATTGATTTCGTATTTTGTAATTTAAACTAAAGAATTTATATTTTATTGTAGTACTATTTATATATTCAGGTATATTTAATTATGCAATTTTTTGGAAGATACATAAAACATCGTATTACAAAAAATAGAAAAAGAGGTTTAAGGATTAATTTGTTAACAAAAAAAAAATAGATAAAGGGGTTTAATGATTTATAATTTGTTAGCAAAAAAAAAATAGAATTCGGAAGTTGACGAAGTTGACGCAAGCTTTGTACGGGTGTAATATATAATTCAAAGCGATTTTTATAAAGGAAATTTATTTATGACACCGGAAAGACTATATAAATCAGAACTTCGATATAACGAACCCTCCGGCTCACTGAAAAAAATCACTATATCGAAATTATAAGTTTGATATATCGATTTTTATGTTTAAGATAAAATCTTAAAAAGTCGCTTTATCGTAAAATTCGGTATATCGCATAGTCGTTATATCAAGTTCTGACTGTATCAGTTGCTGATATTTATAGCGTGAAGGATAGGCATCGATTCTAGTAAAAGACCAACTACAAAAAAATCATCAGAAATATTTTGTGATATTTACTAAATTTTTAAATAGAAATGGAGAATATATTAACTTTATTATTACATAGAAACCGAACTTATTATGAATAATCATATATCATCCCGTTATATATAAGCAGAAAATTAATTATTATGCCAAATGAAAAGATTATAATGTCATTAATGTCATCTAAAGGAAAATATTGACCAAAGATGAGTTTTATTAGTAAGTAAGTTTCTACTTTTTCAACAATTATAATCCCAATAACAATGATAAAGTTGTTTGAAAATTTTGAAAATTCTATTTTACTTTTGTCACCCTAATGTTTACGGAGTTAATAAAATCAACTTATAATATAACTGCTGATTGCAACACATATTTTGGATCGGTTATTAAGAGTCTTATTTGAGAACGATATTGTTGAATAAATTCGATAAAAATATATATATATATATATACTGTATAAGAGAATTTATCGAAACAACAGTAGCAACTGTTTTGGCAAAAAAAATCACAAAAAATTTAGTATGCAATGTAGACATTCTTTATTTATTTGCCACATAGTATTTACTATTTAGCTAGGAATATGACATTGCATTTATTGTTTATGGACAACACGCAAAATTATCGGTATTCGGATAACATACATAAATCATTATTGTAGTATACGCGCCAATTGGTACGTATATACTGTATTAGCATCGAACTTCTAATAAAATAATTATTAGTAGGTCAAATGGGCTTATGAGTTTTATCACCTTTCGAGTTTTTAAGAGACTTTACATGAAATTTTCGTTGAAATTTTCTTTTCAATAAAAAAAAACAAATGTATAAATATTAATTTATAGAAATTTTAGAAATAAAGAAAATATTTTAATACTAAATTGATTAAAGTTGTGTTGATGTTAAAGGAAAATTCTCGAAAATAAAAAGCTTCTGTAACAACATGAATAAATTTTTTTCATAGTTTCAATTAAAAATAGTAAATACTTTTAATATTTATCAATAATAAATGTAAATTAAATGACTTTACAGTAATTTATTTCATAAACTTATACAATCCAACTTAGAAAACATTAAAAAATATTATTGAAAATAATGAATTAAAAATGAATGTAATTTGAAATTTTATAATTTAATAGATAGAAATTTACGCACAATTTTATTCTACATCTATAAGTAAATTATTTTCATCTTAAACGAAAAATAGAAATTATAAATAAAAGTATAAATTAATAAAAACATGATATGATAAAGTTAAATTTTATCATCATTAATTTTTAATTGAGAAATATCAATTTGTAAAGAATCTATTGATAAATAAAATTTATTAGAATTACATTAATTTTTGTAATAAAATTGTTAAATATTACCTGAATATTCTATGGTTGTTATATTATCACAATTTTCATGATAATCATCAGAATTTCTTGGTTCAGGAAGATTATTAAAATCAAGTAATCTACTTGTATAAATAGCTTCTGAATGTGTTACATATGATAATGCTAAACTAGTTGAAGGCAAGGTATTAGTTGGTGAATTTCTATTCATTTCATCCGCTTCTTTAATTTGCTCTTGTAATAATTCTGATTGACTTAATTCACATGAGTCGCATAAAACAACAATCCATGAACGTACAATATTATAAATTTCAGATACTGATGGTCGATTCAATGGATTTGCATCTAAGCATCTTTTAATTAAATGTACAATTAGTTGTGGTACTTTAATATGAAATCTTTGTCTTAACCCTAGACAAATTTTTATTGCTAAATTTTTATCATGGCTTAAATCATGATATGGAGGTAATCCAGAAATTAATTCATACATAATTATACCAAAACTATAAATATCAGAAGCTTTAGTATAATTCTGTCCTCTCAAAACTTCAGGAGCTATATAAGGTAAAACACCATATACTTTGTTTTTTGTATTTTCTTTGTAATCTGCAGGTTTACATAATCCCATATCGGTTATAAAAATACTATCTCCAAGTGATTTATTTAGTATATTGCCAATATGTAAATCTCGATGAATTATTTCATTATTATGAATATATTTAAGTCTAAGTGTAATATTAAATAAGTAAATAATCTTATCATCCCAACTTAATTCATTATAACTTTTATCTAAATAATTTCGTAAACTTCCATTTTCTGCATAATCTAAAACCATCATATAATTCTTTGTTTCTGGATCTTGAGTTATTCCATAAAATTTAATGACGCCAGCACCAATATAATGACCAAAATTTAGCTTACAATGTGATGTAATCTATATTCGACAAATAAAATGTATTAGTAAAAATAGAATTTCAAAATTATGGTAAATAATAAATTAATAATACCTCATTCATAAATTCTAAAGTAATGTTTTTTGAATTATTTAAGCTTTTCAGAGCCACAAATTTATTTTGATATTCTCTTTTCCAATTTTCATTTTTATCATCCCATTCGTCTATAGGTCCATCAATCCAATTTGCTTTATACACTTTGCCAAACCCACCTTTTGCAATATATTTAATATCATAAAATCTATTATAAGGTATCCATTCTATTATACTGTATCTATACATATCATGAGTTGATAGCTGAGTATCTTGAATAAATTCATCAATATCATTATTACCACTTGTCCAATTTTTAAAATTTTGTTGAAAACGTTTTGTAATGCATATTTTATCACATTTTTCACATATCATATTTATTTCTTCATTATCAACTGACGAAATAATTAGTTTTCCTTTATCCATTGAAAAATTATTTTAACTACAAAATATTTCGAATTAAAATACTAAATTATTGTGAAGAACCGGAAAAAAAAATTTTTCGGACCGATATAGCCGATATATATTTAAATGGAAATATCACTAACTCTATTTACACTAGTGATCATCACAAATTTATAATACGATGATTACGATGATCTTCATTCTTCAAAAATAATGACTTTTAAAAATGACAATTAAATTAATTTGTTTTTGGGCATGTTTATTTCTTTATTTCATCAATTTACTTCTGAGTCTTTGCATTTTCTGAAAAAAAAGAAAATGCTTAGTTCCCGTTATTTTTTTCATGTATTTATCCAAAGTTCCGAGGAAACGGTAACAATTATAATATTTTAATCACACGTTGATTAAATATGTAACATATCATGAAGATAAAATTTACTACGCTTCGATAAGACATGGCAAAAACACAAAATCATTATTTAATATTATTCCTATTCCCCTTTATTAATAAATATTATCATAGAAAAATTGCAATTCAATTGATTATAGTAATCAGTGTGTAAAATTTTGAAATTCACCACCTTGTTTTATCAAAAATCAAACAAATAAAATTTAAATTATATTAAATACACGAAAATTTATTTTACACGAAAATTAGCCAAACGTGGTACAAAGCAAATAATAAACCATAAAAATTTATTTCGGTTTCGGCAAATAATTAATTTATTTATTTATTTGTACAATTGGATGAACAAAATAAAAGATACGACTGTGTAAGAAAAATTAAATGAATTTTTTTTTTTTATATAAAATTTGAAACACCATTCATCCATTAAAAGTTTTGAATTACTCAAATTATAGTGAATTTTTTTTTTTATTACTAGGAAACGGAAACTGTTGTAAGTCCGGAGCGAAAAGAAAGATAAAACTCCGATTTGCGATTGGATAACGTCACGTGAGGGACAGAGAGAAACTCACGTGATCGATCATTTTTCATTCGCTCCGGAAAAAGCAGTCTTTAGCATTATTGCCTTATTCCACAATTTTTAACAAAAAAAAAAAAATAAATATAAATACTATGGGTGGATGTCCCCAACACCCCAATATTACCCAAAAACTTTCGCCCCCACATGATTCTTAAAATTATTAAGTATTTATTGTAAAATTTTGAAGTTAAATATTTTATATTTAATGAACTTTATATTTAATAAACTTTATATTTAATAAACTGAATTTTTTTAAATTTAAATATTTACTATTTTCATATGCAATAACAATCGTCAAAAAAAAATTTTTTGATTTGTAAAACTAAAGACATGTTAATAAAAGTTCAAAAATTATAAAACATAAATAAAATTTTAAAAAATAATAATTTCATCATTTTCATGTCACTATTACATGATCAGTTTAAATATTTGATTGGAGATAATTTTAATTACATAATTGATTATTATATTTGAAATATTTTTTTTCTTATAGACTCTTGCATGATCATTTAACTTTATATTTTTATTTTATTTTTATTTTTATTTTTTTTAAGAAATTTTATTTCAAATAAAATATTATTTAATATTAAATATGTAAAATATATGTAAAAGTGTAAATTTTCTTTAATAATATATGAATAAGATTTTTAAATAAATACATTACTAAATATATTATCAACTATAAAAATATTAATTAATGTTAATTTAGAAAACAAAAAACGTCATAAAAAATTCTCTGCCACATCACATATCACATATCCAAGCTTTCTTAATTGAATCATTTTGAAAAACACAAAAACTGTTGCGTATAATTATAAAATTTTTCTAAAGAAAATTTTTTTGAAGATTCAAGGCCTACAACCCTAAGTATATATTATGTATTAAGAAAATTTTTTGTTTTATGATTTTTTCTGTGCAAAAATGAGGCTTGATGATTGACATACATTCCTCCGAATGTGCAAAATTTGTTTGTCATACATGATGCCTGTACTTATGATCAATGCTTTTGTGCATAATGCATTTTGCATAAATATTATTACCATATATAAAGGCGTTTAATAAAAAAAAGAAATTATATTATCTTTTCCAGCCAGAGAAAATTTTATAGTAAATGGCTCTCAGTAATGATAAAGGTAATAATCATATATATAAATACAATTATAGTTCTAATATTTTTAAACAAATTTATAATATAATAAAACTAGTTTCTGGTAATATTGAATTTGAAGGAAACAGCACTGAAGAATTTGAAGGAAGTGGCTCTGAGGAATTCAAAGGAAGTGACTCTAAAGAATTTGAAGAAAGTAGTATCAAGGAATCTAAAGGTTATTAAACATGCTAAAATATTAAATATTTATTTGTAAATACATTTAAACACTATCTATAATTATTTATACCTTACATAATATACAATTATAATTTAAAATAACTATATTATACAAAATAATATTAAATAATTTAGCTCGTAAGTTAAAAAATTATCTTATAATTGAATAATAATGGAATTACTTATCATTTTTTTTACATTTCATGTAATTAAATAATTTATTTAATATAATACTGTAGTCAGTAAGTTATTAGTTATTTAAATCTTTAATTCTTTTATTTATTTTAAATAATATTCAAATAACTAAATTCTTTAATTAACTATTTAATAATTAATTGTATTAAAGACAGTAAGTTACAATATCATATTTATTTGTTTAATATTTTATATAACTCAACTAATAATTATATTCTTAATTTAAATAGATTGTAAGTGATATTTTTAATTTACAGTTAATACTCTTGTATTATATTTATATTTGACTAATAATTGATTAATAATATTAGGGTGTAAGTTATAGATATCTATATTTCCTATTATTTATATAATTTAAGCTACTAAATTCTTTGTATAAAAAATTATTTTGCATTTTTTTTAGTTGGTAAGTTATAAGTTATTTATTTTAATTATATTGTTACTTATTTATATAATATTTATATATAATTTAAATTAACTAAATTCTTTATTTAAAAAATTATTTAATAATATAGAG